CCCCTCCCTTTATTGTTTTACTGGGGCCCCCACCCACCGCTCAGGGGTGGGGGAGGACAGTAGGCCCCCCCCTTATTGTTTTATTGGGGCTCCCACCCACCGCGCAGAGGTGGGGGCCAGGGGGGGGAGGAGAGTAGGTCCCCCTCCCTTTATTGTTTTACTGGGGCCCCCACCCACCGCTCAGGGGTGGGGGCCAGGGGGGGGAGGACAGTAGGTCCCACCCCCTTGTTTTATTAGGGCCCCCACCCACTGCTCAGGGTGGGGGAGGGGGGAGGACAATAGGTCCGCCCCCCCCTTATTGTAATTTGTCTTTTTTTTCAACAGTGAGCAGCCATAGGCTGCTCACTGTTTAGTAGACATGCCCCTACTCGCGGTATAGCGAGTAGGGGCATTTGGGAGATTTGAATCTCCCTTGTGCTATTATGGGGGTCATATTGACCCCCATAGAGTGAGAGGGGGTACTGGGGGGGAGCTTATGAAGTGGTGGGGAGCACTGCTCCCTGCCGCTTCTATAGTTACATATTACAAGGAGGGAGCTGCATGCCGGTAGCTCCCTCCTTGAAATAAACTGAACGAACAAACTAACACTGATACATTGTGTTAGTTTGTTCGGCTGATATGTCTATTCACTCATTCGTCTGTCTGATGAATGAATGAATGGCTGAAATTCCCGTTCGCATGTCCAGGTGTTTCACTGGGCATGTGCGGGAATCTCAGTGTCTGCCTAGTGTGGGCTGATGACGTGTCCCTGAGGGACTTCACCTACCCACACAAAGATGGCTGCGCCCTGAATCAAGATCGGGGCAGAAAATAAGGATTAAAAAATAGGTAATGTGGGGGGCTTAGGTGCATTTGGGGGTGACTAGTGGGTCAATTGGATGTAGTGGAGGCGGGAGGGGGGTTAAAAGAAAAACGGGATTCGGCATGACAGTGCCGCTTTAAGGGTATATGAGAATTGTTCAAAGAAAAATACTCTGAATGTACGTATATTTGATGAAGGGGGCAGTTCCTCTCTCTTTTTGGTCGAACGGTTTGTTTACAAGGTTGGGAATCCTTGTATTGGTTACTGCTGCCCACTAATTTCTTTTTATTGGAGAGAGCACCTACCATACTCTTTTCTATATTACAGGTAATGATAGAGACCTCGCTTAGTGTGCATTAGCACGGAGACAGATTTACTAGACAAGGTTAAGATTATTGAGGCGTATACTTAGCGCATTCATTTCTGTTAGTTATCTTAGCTGAAATATTAAACTTAATATTGACCATGACTAACTTTCAAGCTTTCACCAAAGTCAACGCTTGTTATGCAATGTTGTAATACAGTAACCAGGGTTTAAACGACTTAAAACATTTTGTAACATAAATTTAACATAAGAATCCCTGGTAGCTTTGCCTATCTGCAAGAGAAAGTCCTCAGCAGTCCAGGGTTATGCACAACAGCCGTGCAGGTGATGGCGACCGTCGTCCCGATGAGGTGTGAAGCAGGAGACGGCAGGTCGGTAAAAATCAGCGGATTGGGAGTTCATGTTGCAGCATAGGAAACCTTCCCCCCTTGCTCATATGGGGTACGTAGGAGTTAGTCCCCAGGGTGGTCTGTAATCAGCCGACGCCCGCTCTGTGGGGCCGTTGGAGTTGTGTGGGTGCCGCTCGGGCCAGGGGGAGTGAGCCCATTGTGGGTACAGTCCCAGCGCCCCTGCTGATTCTCTGTGTGTCATTTGGGGGGTGAGTTTTGGTAGCCTCCCGGTTAACGTGGTGGGCAGTGACTTTCTGTTCTCTCTCGTTGGATCCTTTCCAAAGCCAATGTGGGGTGTTCGCCGCTCCGAATGCTTCCACCTTCCCGAGCGTGAGCCTGGGAGGTGGCGAGTTCCGCCTGATGGTTGGTGGTTTCAGACGCCGTAGGGTGGTGAGCGGGTCCGGCGAGGTGGGTGGTCCCCCATTGGTGTGTGCTCGAGCGGGTGCTGGTGCCCGGGGAGTATATCAATTTTGTCTGCCAACTGGGTTCTCTGTTTCTCCTCTGTCTGGAGACTGCCCTTGGAGCTGTGGGCGGGTGTCTGCATAGTTGGGGTCAGATTGTAGGGCGAATCCATGGTGCTGCTTGTTTCAACGCTAGCTTAAAGACCGGCCTTGGTATGGAGTTCTGTCCAGAGGCTAGCGCCAAGCGGGTCAAAGAACTCTAGAGTAAGTGTTGGTGGCTTAATGTGGGTTCTCCCCCTCGCGTGCCGCATCCCAGCCGCCATCTTGGTTGGGCCCTGGCATTTCTGCCTGTCTGTGGGCTTTTTCGCTTGATTGGGGGTGATCGTCCCCAGCGAGGACCGGGATATCCCCCGCCGGTCCAGGGGGGGTGAGGGGGGAGGGAGGGAGGTGGCAACAGGGCATTGTGTGCTTCTCGTTTGTGAGCGGGTCCCTTGCCGGGTGATCGGCCGCCTCCCCCATGCTGCAGGCTCCGCTTCGTTTTAGGCCGCATGGCCGGTTCAGGCTTTTGTAGTGCGGATCAGCGCGGGACAGGTATCATTTTGTTCCCTGCTAGGTCCTATGTCACCTTCCAAGCTCCTTGAGTTTCTGACTTCTGTTGTTTGGACAGGATTAGTGGGATTGTGTCTGCTGGTGCTGGAGCTTTCAAAAATCACGTCCGGCCATCTTGGCTATCAGGCCCTGGCCCCTCACAGGTTCGCTCTTTAATGGCACAAGTAAGCAAAACCTATTATGAGACCTGAGCTAAGATTTACCAAAGGGGCAATCTATTGATATCTACTGAAGTTTTTGTCTGTTCCAATAATGTATAGTTCTCATATTCTCTCTGTTTTTGTTACTTTATCTCATGACAATCTTTGGCAATTGGTGAAGATTTGGTCATTATTTCCCATCAGCTAGTGGTAACAATATCTCATGGGAACAGGCATCATTACAAAACAAAACTAAAAAATAAAGACATTGAATCATATTACCATAATCATTTTAATAAATGGAAGTACTTCAGATGCCTGCAGTGCCATTTTAAATAGACTATTTCTATTCTTTATATATTTCTGAATTTTCTCAACATTTAGGCCTGCCCATTTTTATCCCAATAGGAGATGCAGAGAGAGAGAGGTCATGTAATTTTCCAAGAATGGACATGTCATGTGGGTAAGAATCCATACAAAATACTATTTAATAATTCACTGGAGTTTAACAAGATTAGCTCTGCTGATACCTGCTCGGTGATAAGGATAGTAATCCACTGTAAGCATGCTGAAAGACAATTGCATGGCACCTCCAGTAATCCTCCTGTTACATGCTGAAAAACAAATTAAAACATTGTTACTTCCCATCAAAAAATTTGTAAACCAACATGTTGATTTCTCTATGCCTATAATACACAGCATTTACATTTCACATGGTAGATCACCACAAGATAGAACTAGCCAGAGAAAATAGTGAAACATAAAAGTGTTATTAAAATAAATAAAAATTTGAAAAGCTTGCTCAGTTTAGTGCATCTGCTGTAAAGGCACTCAGCATTACAGACTGATTCCCAACAGATCGACCTGGTCCTTGTATTCTTTCTTGGTGTTTATTACCATTTAGTAGGGTAATGATAACATCTATAACATCTATTAACAAAGACTTAATTAAAAATAAATAAATAAAATAGAGATCAATATAAATGTACCTTTATCATTACAATGCTTTGGTGACCCATACTGACCTGCTTATTGCACAACTTTACCCTATCTCACTCTTTTGGCTTTTATTCTCTTCTGTTAACTTGGTCCAAAACATCTGAAGTGCCAAAGATTGCCTTACCCTGCTCTAGGGAATTGCAATCATGTTTTACACCAGAATCAGTAACACTAAAGGTTTTTGCTTTACTGTGATCGAGTTCACTTTAGTACAATTTTGCACTATCAACAAACGTCTTCTAAATGAAATGTTTGAGTACAGAACCTTCTGATTGTGTATGTTTTGAAAGGTTTCATTATCTCTTCTTGTTCATACAAAACTCTATTTGACTACGTCTCTGACCCTACGGGGCCCTGGGTGACAACCCCATCAAGGACAAAATAAACAAAGAACCCTGCACACGGATACCGTATAAATGCTCCGACCATCCACACTGAAGGTACTCCGTGTCAGGCGGACATCGCTGGACCCACCAATAAAGTCTTTAAAAGGAATAAACGCAGGCAACACTACAGTTGTAAGGATGGTATTATAACCGCAGGTGGTTCCCTTATTTACCACTATAATGTCTTAAAGCATAGAACTTAGTAGGGCTAACCATACAGATATCTTAGCCATAATTTTATATAGTTAGTAAGAGATCCTCTATTTACCATATATAAATAATTGCGAATACAATATAAAATAAGGATTGTCTTGGAAGCAATAGTTTTGTCTTTTTGGATATTATATAAAAATATAAATATAAACTCCATTATAGCAGAGTTTATAAGATTAAACTAAATGCTTCCAAATATCATTAATAGGTTAACATACCCTTCTGAACAGGTCATCATGTCAGCCTCTCTGTCATTTTAAGATGGAGCAGCATCTGTCTCCAAGTCTCTCCTCTGTGTCTTAACATTTAAAAGTACACCTATTTATACCTTAGGTGTCTCCATTTTAGGGTTACCGTAGTTCATTTACTTTATTAATTTTAGGACCTCCCTTAATTTGGCAAACAAGGCCATAACTAAAGGGTGCAAACGTCATGGAAATTTTCCTGACTTAGTTCAAGATGGCATCTTAAAGTCTGAATAGGTTATCTGTTGTTTATACGAAGTCGTAAGTGTACAGTCGTGGGAGATTCCCGGATTTGGGGAAGTTCTATTAACTTGGGGTTACCACAGTATATTGTGTACTGAAAGAGTCGTAGTATAGCCTTGAAGCTTGTTTATGCATTATTGTTATTGTAATTCGTCTGGGACAAAATGGCGCAAACATATTAGGCACTGAGGTTATTGCTTAAAGAAACAATTATGAAAAACAATATGTTCCATTTCTAACACCATGTCAGTTTGCAATATCTCTTAAAGACAAAGTACACAGTTTAAGAAATACAACATTTCATTCTAAAACTTGTAATATTTGCATTTGCCCATAACAGTATATTTATTGATAGGTGAACCACCCATACAAAGTGCGACGTTTCAGCTCAGCAGAGCCTTAATCATGCACGATTAAGGCTCCGCTGAGCCGAAACATTGCACTTTCTATTGGGTGATTCACCTATCAATAATATACCATCCTTACTACTGAGTGTTGCCTGTGTTTATTCCTCTTGAGCTCCATCAAGGACAGTCATTACTCTTTATGTTGATAGCCCTTCGCCAGCTATCATTTATGGTAAAATGTGGATTTTTTTTTTCCTAGTTTGTGGCAAAATTGGAAGCGCTTCAGTCCAGGTTTTTTGCCTTCTTTTGGATCAACAGCAACAACATTTGTGAGGAAGGCTGAACTTGATGGACGCAAGTCTCTTTTCAGCTATGTAACTATGGTAATCTGGCACATTTTTTTTTTTTTTTCTTCCATGATCAATGAGATTACATAAAAATATTACACTGTGGTAGAGAATTTATCTGCACTAAGCATTATTTATCGCCTCCTATCACAGCACTAAGCACTATTTATCGCCTCCTATCACAGCACTAAGCATTGCTGATGCTGAAAGTCAGGGATAGGAAATTTATCCCTATTTTATTGGAATGTCCCCCATCCAAATTCCATCTGTCATTCAGGTCTCACCCTTACTAGCTTTTTCAACTAACTTAAACAATATTAGTGTTAAAAAAAAATATTATAATATAATATATATTGAAGTGATACTGTTAAATGCAGCTACAGCACAGATTTCACTAAATTGGAGGCTCCCCGTGATTTCCAACCAGGATCCAGACAGTAGGAACACTGGAGCTAAAGAAAAAACTTGATATCCTATGATTAAACTCAGGAAATTGTTTCACAATCACTTATCGTTTCCTCTTGATTGCATTGTGAGATTCTCCTGAATTTATCTCCCCTGTGTGCGAAGTCAGTTATTCCTTACATTTGTATGGTAAACAAATCACGGTCATCTGAGATTTACTGCATATGTTGTTCACATGCAGTGAGAAGTTGCATTAACTAAAAAAATACATGTATGAAGCTACTTTGTATGCCAATAGAAGCTGGAGTGTATCTATTATTAGTATACAGACTAGGTTCATTCTAGTTTTTGTTCCATAAAAGAAGCTACTCACCTGCTGCACAGGCTCTCCCATTGAAAGCTATGAAAAATCTGATATGGGTTACATAGCACTTGTATGGCTTGCACATACACAGTGTAAGATCTTGCATGGGCAGGAGACCCAGCTTACCTCTGCGAAATCAGAGAATGGAGGAGTGAGCATATACCTGAAACTTGCTGCAGCTACAATGAACAGAATGAGGGAAGACAGGGACAGAGGAACTTCTTGTACCGTAGTCTATGCAATAATCATATGTGGTTATGGTGCTTGAAGTGCCCCTTTGATGCAGCATGACAGTTGGTGCATTTAAGAAAAGTAAATCAATGATCCAAAATATCTTGAAGAGCACCCTAATTTTTCACCTCTTTCTGTTGAGTGAATGTCGTCACATATGTGCAGATCCAGGTGGGAGATGACCAAATGATATGAGGTTTCTTTGACATCAAAGTCTCTGAACAGCTTTATAATGGCATGATTTTGTTCTGTTGTTGCAGTAGATTGCTGAGTTTTTACCTGCTGTGTGCTTGGAGGAGGAGTGGAGCCCTGTAGAGGAGCAAAAACAAAATATGAAAGATTTCCTGCTAATCACTTTTCCATAAACCACAATTTGCAGGTTCCTCACTTATCATATTAAAGTTAAAAAAAAAAAAAATTATATTATATACTTTGAGAGAGAGAGAGAGAGAGAGAGAGAGAGAGAGAGAGAGAGAGAGAGAGAGAGAGAGAGAGAGAGAGAGAGAATTTAAAGGGATCCTATTGGCACCAGAAGAACTTCAGATAAATTAAGCAGTTATGGTGCCAGTAGGTCCCTGGTGCCTGCTTACCTTTAGGGGTTAAACCTCTCCAGCGGCATTTAGTGCTCTCCCTGTCCTTCCGCGTCTCTCGGATTTTTCATACAGTAACCTCTGACTTCAACAGACAAAGGTGGCGCTGATTAGCCAAGTGCATCTGCTGACACGCTAAGCCTTCTCAAATAAGTAACTGAGGGGGTTATAACCCCTTCAGTAACATGGGATGAGAAATGGGAGGGAGAGGGACAATGCAGGGTCCTGTAGTGCCAGGAAAACTGATAGATTTTCCTGTCACTGGAGAGTACCTTTAACACCACCTCCAGTCCAACTTTCTTCATGATTATAAATATTTTTATAAGGGCTGAATGAATCCCATAAATTTTAAACATTTGTCTGCAAAGTCATTTATACACATATATGCATTCCTTGCTTCAAATAGATTTTATATTGTTATTTTTATATTCAAAAAGTGCTCAGAAATTAAGTGGTTAATGTTAGCCCCATTAAGACCTGTCCACAGTGGGCAGCTGTCCATCTTATTGCCTTCCATAAGAATTTTGTCCATCCAACCTATCACCTTAGTAATAATGTCCAAAAAGGACTTGAAATTGACAATAATTTGAAATTCTTGTCCTTCTAAAACCCTCCACAGGAGCAGTGACTATAACACAGAGTTGGTCATTGGGATGGCAGTTTGCCAGCAAGTCAACCAGCCATTTCCAGAGAGCTGTGAAAGACCGGCATGCACGGAGCACTGTAGCACCATCAAGCTTCTTGAATTACATTCTTTGGTTCTCCAGGGAAGCGAGACACAGCGGAAATAACGGAAACTTGATTTTGAGGCATACTAGAGATTATGGATAGGATAAATAGCTATATCACAGAATACACATGTAATAACAAACTAGCCTAGATCACAAATATACAGAGTCAATTTGGATTGGATTAAACAGTTATAGCTGAGAGCTGAGATATGTAAAGCTTTTTATTAATGTCTCTTTAACGGTCTGATTCACATCCTTATTGTCTTCTCTTCTCTTACCTGGGTGGAATCGGATACCATGCTCTTCCTTTGTTCTGTGGATTTTTCAATCACTTCGCTTAGAGACTTTGCATACTGAACCATGGCCTTTAACTGAGAGTCTGTCAGCACCCATAATAGATCATCCAGCATTAAAATCAGCTTTGAGGCGACCACATTGCAGTCCTTGAGCTGGAATAAACACCTTAATGTTACAGACAGATATAGGTTTCACCAGGAATATACAGAGAAAGTGGGGGTTACAAGGTATAACTAGCTACCCACAGTACAAACTGATGCAGAAAGGGTATAAAAATGATATATTGAAATATATTTTTCTGCCAGGAGATCCCACTGATAATAGAAAGCTCTGAAGGTTACGATTATAAGAACCATGGTATAGTACATTATTTAGTTCGGTTTTAAATATTTTATTACGTCCCACTGAATATGTCTTTAGTATTAAATCAAATCTGTAAGAGTGACAGTTTATAAGGAATAAAGTCATTGCCATGTATTGGTTTATGTTGGTTATTAGTTCCAGAATTGATGGTTATCAAATAAGTTTAATTGAAATCTCCAGAGTTAACAAATGTGTATTACTATCAATTTATACTTATAATACGCAACTTATAATTAGCCAAAACAAAACAAAAAAGTTGGAAAAATAACCAAAACAAAACAAAAAAGAAAAAACTGCTGGATTGAGAAGTTTTCAAATTCACCATTTTTTGTCTAAAGTCTGCAGTTCGGTTATCAGTTCTCCACAATTACTAGTTTTAATGAATAACTGAATAGATTAAAATTCTGAACTATTACACCCACCTATTGTTTAAATAATTAGGTTTAATAGCATGACATTTTATTTATTTAACTATTTAGTCATTGTATTGGATTCATTTTAATAATATTGTTTTTTTAAACTTTATAGGTGGTTCTATAAAATTGTCTCATGATAAAATAAGTGTCATTATTATAAAATCCCCATATCTCGCAAAGCTTTGCTATTAAAAAGGCAAGAGAACACACGATTAGAGAATTAACCGACAAAATAGGGAACCTGACGCATGTGCACAAACGAACACTAGACAGCACACTCTTGAGAGAACAATAGCGCAAGAGGAATTATCACAGGTCCTGCGACAATCATACTCTAGAGCTCTTCAACACACAAAATCATTTTTCCATGCGGAAGGAGAAATGCGGCAAGCTGCTTGCAAGAATGATAAATAAAAAAACGCTCCACAACGTATAATGCGTAATGCATCGGGTCAACTTTGCCACGTGCCAGTCCAGATAGCCACAGCAGTGAAACGATTTGATACGGACCTATATGCGCTTACAGACGAATACAACGCGCTCCTATCTCACTAAATACGCAACCGAGGCATTAGAGGCACCTCTGACGGAGGGGGAACTGGCCTTCGCTATCAAAAACTCAAGCAAAAACAGGCAAAAGCCCGGGCCCAGACGGCCTTCCCCTCAAATACTATAAAACCTTCACGACCACTCTATCCCCTCAATTTACATAGAAACATAGAATGTGACGGCAGATCAGAACCAGTCGGCCCATCTAGTCTGCCCAATTTTTAAAAATACTTTCATTAGTCCCTTATCTTATACTTACCTTATGCATATCCCACGCATGCTTAAACTCCTTTACTGTGTTAACCTCTACCACCTTTCCTTGTAAGTTTTATCCTGCAATCCATGAACCAGTTTAGCAGCCCTTCTCTGAACTCTCTCTAAAGTATCAATATCCTTCTGGAGATACGGTCTCCAGTACTGCGTACAATACTCACCAGTATTCTGTCATGAGCACTTCCCTCTTTCTACTGCCAATACCTCTCCCTATACAACCAAGCATTCTGCTAGCATTTCCTGCTGCTCTATTACATTGCCTGCCTACTTTTAAGTCCTCAGAAATAATCACCCCTAAATCCATTTCCTCAGATGTTGAGGTTAGGACTCTATCAAATATTCTGTACTCTGCCCTTGGGATTTTACGTCCAAGATGTATTATATTGCACTTATCCACATTAAATGTCAGTTGCCACAACTCTGACCAGTTTTCTAGTTTACCTAAATCATTTGTCATTTGGCTTATCCCTCCTGTAACATCAACCATATGTTACTGTTACATATCTTCGTATCATCAGCAAAAAGACATACCTTACCATCAAGACCTTCTGCAATATCCCTAATAAAGATATTAAAGAGAATGGGTCCAAGTACAGATCTCTGAGGTACCCCACTGGTGACAAGTCCATGCTTTGAATACTCCATTGACTACAACCCTCTGTTGCCTGTCACTCAGCCACTGCCTTACCCATTCAACAATATTGGAATCCAAACTTTGGATTGCAGTTTATTGATAAGCCTTCTATGCGCAACATTGTCAAACGCCTTAGTGAAATCTAGGTAAGCAATGTCTACTGCACAACCCTGATATATTATTTTACTTACCCAATCAAAAAAATCTATAAGATTAGTTTGGCATGATTTCCCTGAAGTAAACCCATGTTGTCTCTGATCTTGAAATCCATGTGTTTTTAGATGTTCAACAATCCTATCTTTTAACATCGTTTCCATTACTTTCCCCACTACTGAAGTAAGACTTATGGCTTGTAGTTGCCTGACCCCTTCCTACTACCTTTCTTGTAAATGGGCACAACATTCGCTAACTTCCAATCTTCTGGGACTACTCCTGTTAACAATGATTGGTTAAATAAATCTGTTAATGGTTTTGCTAGTACACCACTAAGCTCTTTTAATAACTTTTGGTGTATTCCATCAGGTCCCATTGACTTGTCTTTACTTTTGACAGTTGAAATGGAACCTCTTCCTCTGTAAACTCACATGTAACAAATGACTCATTTGTCCTTTTTCCTAACTGAGGCCCCTTTCCTTCATTTTCATCTGTAAATACTGAACAAAATTATTCATTGAGGCAGTCAGCTAGACCTTTATCCTCTTCTACATACCTTCATTATTTTGTTTTTAATCTAACTAATCCTTGTTTTACTTTCCTTTTTTCATTTATGTATCTCAAAAAATGTTTTGTCCCCTTTTTTTTTTTTACTGACTGTGCTATTTTCTCTTATGTGTGTGATTTGTAAGCTCTTATAACTTGCTTAGCCTCTTTCTGCCTAATCTTATAGATCATTCTGTCTTCCTCACTCTGTTTTTTTTTTTTTTTTTACAATTACTAAATGCTAACTTTTAGTTTTTTACTATTTTGACCAAATCTGCATAGTACCACAGTGGTTTCTTGAATTTTTTGCTTTTAATGACAAGCCTAATGCAATTTTCTGTTGCCTTCAGCAGTGCAACTTTAAAGAATCCCATTTCTCTTGCACTCCATTTAAATTGTTCCAGTCTGATAATGACCCCTCTACACATATTCTAATTTTAGAAAAGTCTGTTTTTCTAAAGTCTAAAACTTTTGTTTTTGTGTGATGTGACTCAGTCACTGTTCTTATATTAAACTACACTGACTGATGATCACTTGATCCTAAACTTTTACCTACAGTAATATCTGATACCAAATCTCCTTTTGTTAACACTAAATCTAGTATGGCTTCTTTACGAGTTGGCTCCTCAATGACATGTTTTAGAGACAATCCCAGTTAGGAGTTCAGAATAGGAAGATTAAAGTCACCCATGATGATAACTTCCCCCTTCATTGTCATTTTAGCTATTTCCTCAATTAGTAGATTATTTAACTCTTCTATTTGTCCTGGGGGCCTATAAATCACACCTATACGAGTTACTGTCTGATTACCAAATTCTAAAGTAATCAGTTTTTAACTCTATAACGGAGGAAATATGATTCCCAAGCAGACAATAGCGGCCAACATTATTTTATTGCCAAAAGAGGGTGGGGATGCCGAGCGGTGTACGGGTTATTGGCCGATCTCATTGCTTAACTGCAACCTACGACTGTCTGCCAAGATACTGGTGACGAGGCTGGGACTACAACTACCAGGCTTGATCTAATTTTATCAATTAGAATTCGTCCACGATAGGGAAGCCAGGGACAATACGGTACGAGCCCTGTCACTGATCCATCAAGAGCAACGCGCCTCAGAGAGCCTTCTCCTCTTCTCTACGGACGCAGAGAAGGCCTTTGACAGGGTGGCATGGGACAACCTCTTCGCGGTTTTGGAACACATAGGCCTGGGTAAATCATATAAGTCAATGGATAGAGTCCCTTTGCTCATCCCCCCACCGCCAGAGTGTGCATAAACGGGGTCTACACTGACACGTTCCCGGTCAGAAACGGAAGAAGGCAGGGTTGCCCCCTGATGCTGCTGCTCTTCATCCTGGACCTCGAACCATTCTTACAGGTAGTTAGGGACAACCCGGATATTACGGGGGTAGTGGTGGGGGCAGACCATCACAAAGTTGCAGCATATGCGGACGATATGCTCTTCTTTGTCACCAAACCAGAAATCTCTCTCCCAAACATCATGGCGGAGTTTGAGAGATATGTCCAAATCGCAAACCTAAAGATCAATTACGCCAAATCCTCTATCCTCAACATTGGCATCCCCGGGGGAGGGCGGACCAGATCCGACGAAGCTTCAAATACCTGAGTGAGGCTTAAGGCTGATCTGACCAAACTATACCAAACCAACTTTGTCAAAATGTTAGGGGTTACACAGAAGAACCTAGCAGAATGGGCTACGCCCCACTTTTTGTGGCTCGGTAGGATGGCCATAACCAAAATGAACATCCTACCACGGGTACTCTATTTCAGACATTACCAAATCCACTCCCTGACGCCATTTTTACATCAATCCGAACCCTCCTCGTTAATTTCATCTGGAAGGGCACTAAACCCATACTCAAATACACACAATTTACACTCCCGAAAACAGCAGGGGGTCTGGCCGTCCCAGATCTCAAACTATACTACTTAGCATGCCATATGCAACAGGCCTAAGAATGGGCTAAGGAGGGGGTACATAAACCCTGGAAGGCCACTCTCTGCCCTCCTATGGCTTAATCCCGCTGTAAACAGGCGACTGGTTTTACCAACAACTATTTATTACAGCCACTATGTCTACATGGCACTCACAAGCAAGAAAACTACGTCTGTCCTCCTTCCCATCCCCACTATTGCCTTTGGTGTACAACCCAGACTTTGAGCCGGGGATAAGGCCCAGAAACCTTTGCTGCGTCCTTCCACAAGAAATACCCCGAATCCAAGACATTACTGCTACTGGGAAAATCCTGCCCCTGCAAACACTCACAGGCACACCCACCCACACCTTCATGACTTTAGATACACTCAAATCAAGAACTATGTCACCGTGATACCACAACATCCTGATATCTATAGAGACCTCACACAATTTGGACAACTATGTCAGGAACCGGACCCCATAGCGTCTCCTGCTATTTTCGATGATACAACAACAGCAGGGACTCCCCCCACCCCCTTTCATGTTCTAATAGGAAATGGCCATCGGGGAAACACTCACGGTGAACCAATGGCATAAGATATGCGACCTGGTGCACCATTGCGCAATAGCTAGTAAAACCCAGGAAACGGCCTATAAGGTTTGCACACAAAGGTACTTGACACCGGAATGCCTGCAGAGAATGCACACCGATTCCTATGGCCTTTGCTGGAGGTGCAGGGGGGGAAAGTGGGATCCTTCTTACACATATTATTATTTTATTATTTATATAGCGCCAACAAATTCCGTAGCGCTGTACATATGGTGTGAATGCCCGATCATAGTACCGTTCTGGGGAAAAAAAGCTCCATAGTAGCCCTATACACAGATAGCACGCCACATCCTTAACATCGCAAAGCATCATTGTACTGGGAAAAAAGGACACGGCCTCACCGCTGACCCTTTGGTATAAGAAAATACCAGTTATGAGTTATGAGTTATGGAAGAGCTGTGGTACTCAGCCCAAGACCGAGCACAAACACACACTGACATATGGGCTCCTTGGCTGGTGCGTGCGGTCACAGAGGAGTTCCGGACCAGTTATCTGGGGGAGGGGCCCCGGGGCGAGGGACCTGACTATCCCCAGTAGGAGACACCGGGAGGCGGGTGAGCTGATCCGCACCCGCTTTAATGCCACATTCTCTCCTTGCCCTACCTCTCATTCCCGCTTCACCTTCTTCTCTTAATTCCTCTTCTTTGCTGGGCCTGTGCCCTGGGGCTCGGGGTGTGGCCCAGAGAGTGACCACACCAAGGCGCACCCGCCTGCCTAACACGTAATGCAGAAGACCAACCGGGAGCTGAGAAGCTGGGGTCACACCGTTTTATCTTACAGGATGCAGTTGCTTGCAATACCGCATATTTAAACACGGTTGCACGCACCTTTTAAAATTTTAATGGATCTGCGAGTCCTCAGCTTTTTTCGCTAACTGAAAATAAAAGCAAACACCTTTAAGTGAACGGGAATTTACAAACTTTAGAAAGTGTGACTGAGACCCGTAAGTTTAGTTTGTTACAGTGTTTATTTTATACTGTTAGTTGGATATCCTACCTCTATTAGCAATGCATGTAACACAACATTGAACCCAGCTGAGTTATTATAAGGAGGTGTTATCCTATTACAATGTGATGCAAGATCCAAGTGTTTGCAATGTAACGGGCCTGCAAGTCCCAAAGTGACGCCAACGCATCTCAGATACAAGGTTTCATTTTGAAAAATAAATTTACAAAGAATAAAATAAAATCCCCATATAATATAAGAAGAACCGGACATCCACATAACGTGAAGATAATCGCCAAGTTGCAATAGAGATATTCAATCTATAATTTATGCAAGAACCCCCAGTGTACAGTTTAAAAGCTGTACTTACCTGAGCATTGCAACTATGCTCAGTCTCCCACACTGCCCAAACACATGCAGAATCTCGCAATTTGCAGCACGTAAGTACATGCTAAGAATTGTGGGATGCCTACACAAACTGCTCTTCATCTCCATAATTGTTGTATTTACACCTATGCCACTGTTAACGTGTAATAGCATTTACTCATTTACTTTATTTGACGCTTGAGTTTTTTTTCACTGGTTAAGTGGTCCTTAAGCCCTGGTTCTTAATAAACTGATTATTTTTGTCAGCACTACAGGAGAAAAATACGCAAAAAAAATAAAAACAGGACACTGAGTAATACCTTATATTTAATTTGAATCCCTTCTCCAATTCCTCCTCCTTATTCTAATACAATTAATGCAATCCTCAATAAGCATTTTCTTTACTATACTAGCACTTACAAGTATATTGCGTGTACATACACAATGAGAATGAATGAGAATAAGAATTAGGATTGGAGGAGAGGATTAAATAGTCAGTTTAATTTTTAAACGTGAGAAATGCATATTTACTAAAACCTTACAAACTGTAAAATGCCAACACAGGTAAAATAAATGAAAAAAAAAATATATACAGCTAAAACTAATAGTCATAAGACGTTTAAACATCACTGCCACAACATTTCAGTGCTATAATAAAAAATAAGAAAAATAAAATTTGTAACCGTAATAAACAGCTTCTGCAGCAGATGGTTAAGCAGTTGCACATATTTTAAAGAACCCAGAAAGAAAAATGAAAATTTATACTCACCCTCCTCTTTAATGTGATTCTAATTTTGGACTGATTAGTAATTAATCGGACAGGCGCGCTCATTATTTCATGCTCACTGCTCTGAATGGCATCCGCCTCTATGCGGATCATCTGCCAATTTATTTCTTTGAATGTCAAAACCTGCAAATAATTGAAAGAAAAAAAAGAGCTATAATTTTTGTCAATAAATATGAACCACGCAAGTGGAAAAGTGATTAAATTAGTTATTTACTTATTTCTAACCAGTAGGCAGTATCCCACAATAAGTAGTTATTCAGTGGGTAAAATGTAATTGACACTTCTGTGCACGATCTATAAATGTAGCCTCAAGCTTTGATCAATTTATATCATGTCCTTTTTGCAAACCCCATTTCAGGGTACATAGTGGCAGATTCTGACCCACATCACCTGACTTCCTGCTACTGTGACCATTCAGCATTCATAGTAATGTCTTCTTCACCACTTATACAATGCCAGTTTTCTAAATTATTTATATTGGAAATGCTTTCTAGTACATACATACATATTAGTTTTATTTATTTTTAAAGGAACACTCTAGTATGCTGCAGTGGTTATGGTGCTAGATGTGCCCTCACCCCCCACCACTCCTTGTAAGTAGACAAACTATTTGCAAACTGCATTCCTGTTGCCTTGTGTATATGTGACATTACACATGAGAAAGCTATTTAAGCAGCCAACAAAAACCATTACCCTGTGTGCTTGATACATAGTCCATGACGGAGGAGAGAATTGGCTAATAAGCATGGAGGTTTATAGAGGCAAAACATATTTGTGCAAGAGTATGAGAGACTAACTCATTTATTATGCCTGCTTACAAATAACAATATTGCTCTGCACACGGTTTATGTATACACAAACAGAAATGTTACTTAAAAATGAGAGGGCTGATGAAAGTACATCTTAGCAGTTTTGTCTATCCTTTCGTTAAACACATATCTATAATTGCTTGTAATTCTAGACCATAGATGGCTAGCCCTGACATGTAGATATTTGTTAACAACTATTCCAATGACGCTCAGTCAGCATATAGTTCACAAACATCTATGAGCAGTTACAAAAAACAAAACAAAAAAAATATACCATGCATATAATCCATAAACGCAATACACATCAATTTAGCCAAACATAAAGCATTTCAGATTTCATGTCACATAAGAACATCATGAGATTTACTACTAAAACCAACTTGATATCACAATGTAGAGATGCTATATAGTATGCTTTAACATTTATCATATCATGTATCTTTAGATTTTAGTTATAGTGCTAAATTCAGAGCGATTTATAATAGAGGTTTACTGCTAGTGATTGTATTTTACAATGATATTGAAGGAACCCGTTACCTCTCCACGCTGCGGATCTTGTATTCGAGTAAAGCGCAGGTCTCCATGCTGCCATTGTGGATTTACACTGTATATGCTTAACTGGGACAGCTCAAATGAAGCATTGAAAGCCTTGGCTCGGATCCGGATTATAATGGAATTGACAGAGAGAGAGATCCCTTCAACTACCTTCTCAGCAAAACCATATTCACTGGAAAAACAAGATTATAATGATGCATTAACACATTATAATTGTGCAAAGAAAAAAAAAAACAACCCATAAAACAATCATAAATGAATAACTCATACTGGTTGCCAATTAATTCACTGTATTAATTGTCTTCCCATTATTCCCCTATTTGTAACTTACTTAAACTTTATTGACAAAGATGAAAATAGATTATTAAAAAGATGGCTCAATACGGCTATTTTTCAAGTTTACCCTAAATTTGCAATACAGCACAAATCATGGCTTGGTTCTTGCAGTCTTGGAGTATTTTTTACTAGAGATATCCAAAACCAAGGGCAAATAATAGTTTAAAGGGACATTCCAAGCACCATAAACACTAAAACATACTGTATTATAATTATTGTAGTGGTTATGGTGTAACAAAACGGTCATTAAAAGTCAAAACAGTTTATGAGAACACTATAAATGGGCAAACTTTAAAGGACCACTATAGTGCCAGGAAAACATACTCGTTTTCCTGGCACTATAGTGCCCTGAGGGTGCCCCCACCCTCAGGGACCCCTCCCGCCCGGCTCTGGAAGGGAGAAAGGGTTAAAAACTTACCTATTTCCAGCGCTGGGCGGAGAGCTCTCCTCCTCCGATCCTCCTCTTCTCCTCCTCCTGGGCAAGAGCTGCGCGCGCATTCAGCCCGTCGCATAGGAAAGCATTTACAATCTCACTGTGACTGTCAATACTAAACAAACAAAACTTACCATTTGAGGTCTTCTTTCTTCTAAACTCTTCTTTTTTCAACTCCAAAAAAGGGCAAATAAAAATCCACAATAACCGACACACTTTAAAAAAAAATAAAAAAATTTCACCCATGGAGGGCTCCGTGCAGACTGAGCTTTTTTTTTAAAGTGCGTCGGTTATTGTTGATTTTTATTTGGTCTTTTTTGGTGCTTAAAAAAAGAAGAGTTTAGAAGAAAGAAGACATCAAAGGGTTTGGGGACCCCTAGTCACCTGGGGGGGGGGGGGTTAATTTTTTTATTTAGGACCCCCACCTGCCACTCAGGGGTGGTGGCCAGGGTGGGGTGGGGGAGGACCATAGGTCCCCTCCCGTTATTGTTATTTAGGGCCCCCACCCGCCGCGCAGGGGTCAGGGCCAGGGGGGAGGACTATAGGTCCCCCCCTTATTGATATTTAGGATGGGTGGAGGCCGGGAGGGGGGGGGGGCAATAGATCCCCCTTTTAGTTTAAAGTCCAGGTTCGCTCAACTCTACAATCTATCCATATGTCCCAGACTTTATGATAAGAAGAGGTTGAATTATGGACCATAGCATTAAGATTGCCCATGAATTTGTGTTTGCTAATGTATGCAATAACCACTAGAAGAAGGGAGATTCTTTTAACCATTAAGCAAGCACTAAGGTCTGCCTGAGTGAACTTCTCAGTTTTTAAATAGATATATCTGCACATGCACACAGTGCATTTCCGTGCCTGACCCAGAGTGCTCTACACATTGCTAACAAACTACAATGTTGCTGTCACGCTTAATGACATGGATAGAATTTGTGCACAATCAAATGTGTGGCATTGTGGTATAAACCACAGCTATCATAGTGTGGTGAGATATATTCCCACAAAGTTAATGATGTAACTGCAACAACAGTATTCTGCCATTTCACATAGATTTTAACTATAAATGTACTGGGTTGTTTTCAAACACAATACACAGACTACATTTTTCTTACATAAATGGGATTGTGTTATATAAACATGGATGGCTTATCAATCAAATGTAAAATGGTTGCTCCCATAAGCATACAGAATAACTGGATTTCAGGATAATTTTTGTGATAAATAGATTTGTCACCTAAAGAACAGATTTTAGTGCATTATCAACTAATATCGTCTGCCACAGAGTTTCACAGCAATAAAACTCAGTTATATGGGTTTTAAACAGCAGCAAAATAGCGTTATTCTACCCCTAAACATTTTATTTGAAATTAAGCAAAAAAGGTAACAACAATATGGGTGTTAGGATTAAATATCCAAAAACCACAAGTGAGCAATTTCATTTTAGTAACAACAAAACATCATACACTGACTATTGCAAAAAAAAAAAAAAAAGGGAAGAGACTAGAGCAGGGATAGGCAACCTTTTAGCAGCACTGTGCCGATATAGGAGTGTGATGTCCCTTAGCGTGTCGGTCCTATATTTTTAAATTGAGGCGTCTATGTTGCCGTCTTCTGCTTGTGTTATTTTTACTGTAATTGCTTTGTATCATTGTATTTGTGTGTATATGAGCTATTATATTGTATATGTTCATTAGTAGTTTATGGTATCATGTATGATACCTATGAATGTGGGCTGTGTATGAGAGCTGATTGTGGAGTTGTGTGTGTGAATGGAAATGTCACATTGTGTGTTTGGTAGTCTGTGTATGTGAGGGGCTGTTTGGGGTATTGCATGTGAGAAGCTGCATATGGGGTTGTGTGCATGTATGTGGATTGTTAGCGGGTTACGTTTGTACAGATTGTGTGTATGTTTGTTTGTGGGCTGTTCGTATTATTTGTATGAGGGGAGGCTTATTGTGCATTTCTGTGTATATCTAGCAGTGTGGGTGGCTTCCCTGGGTTCCAGTGGGGACCAGGCTGGCCAGGTATAGGTCAAGGACAGGAGCTACAACAGCAGCTGCAGGCTTCTCTACTACAGTGTGGATTCCCATTAACTAGTGCTGGGAGGAAGTGAGCTGAGATCACTACCTCTACATGCTGCAATGCATAAATTGAGGATTGTCCTTCACCACATCTTCGTATTAGCAGATATCTGAAGTTTTACTGGGACTCCGGATAGGCCAGAGCCTGTTTGGCTCCAGCAGCCTTGAGTGCCGTGCAAAGACACCTCGAGTGCCGTGCATGGCACTAGTGCCGTAGGTTGCCTACCCCTGGACTAGAAAAAGGTTACTGTAAAACAATAAAGCAGTAACAAAGTGCCAAATTAAGAAAAGTGGTAAAAGCCGCGGTAGTCTAGGTCAGTTCCGTAATGGAGCTAGAAGTGTAATTTACCATTATTAAGGAATAATTTACTAATGTAGTGTACTTGACAAAGCCCATATTGAATTGATCCATCCGTCCCTGCTGTTCAACTAAAACTAGGCTTTTACATTTTTTTGCAGCAACTTAATCCACTTCCCAACAGTCCCAGAACAAATGGGACCATCCCATTATCGCAGGCTGGCTCCTTGGTGTTGTAGACATGCTGCACCATGGTGTAGTTAGACACCATGCAGAAGACACTTCGGCTGTCTCCAATTCATCATTTGCCCTTAGTGGGCTGTCAGCATAGCAGGCAGGACTGTCCCTTTTAGGCATCACCAGTTATGCAACTGGCATCGCTGACACATCCCTTCAGCCCACCCTGGTCCTGAATGCAGTCTCTCAGACTGTAAGCTCGTTTGAGCAGGGTCCTCAACTACCTGTTGTTCCTGTTACATTTTATTATTGTCTCATTTGGTAAATTTCCCTTTTATTGTAAAGTGCTGTGGAATAAACTGGCACTATATAAATACCAATAATAATAATAATAATAATAATAATAATAATATATGCTTAAATTGGGAATCAGTAGTAGTATAAAGTCACCTCAAAACTCTCAGCAATACTCCCAACTACACTCTAAAATAAGTGTATTGATACAGCCTGTATTCACCTAGCACAAAGTCGAATCTGCTCATGTTTAGCAACTTAACCCAGTGACTAGAAAGCATGGCTCAGTGACAGTGTGAAGTGAGGGATTAACTTGGAATGGAAAACGCTTGTGTAAATTTATCTGTGAAACATACTTTGTATAGAACACTACAAGTGAGGACAGATGAGGGTAAACTGGTATATTCTTTACAAATAAGCTGTGTTAATAAATGTATCTAGGCATGCTTGTTTTAGCATGCTAAGTCATTCTTTTAAAACAAGACTGAAATGACCCTCACCATTTACCAATACTGTAACAATGTATTTCTCCACACCCTGTGTGTCTAGCTAATGTCTCATTGCACTTCTGAAACTAGTAAAATTCTGCAGTAATACAACTGTGTAAAACTAACATTAAAGGAACACTAAAGCGCTCAGAATACAAACACATATTCCTAACACCCCCTCAGAATTAGTTTTAAAAAGGCAGTTTTATTTCCAATTTCTCCTCCAGTCTGCCAGGCTCCATCCTGATGATGAAAGCATTGGAAGGTGGGTGCGAATGCGAGGCAAATCACCACACTGCGCCAATCAGCATCTCCTCATAGAGATGCACAGACCGGGTCTCTATGCTGAACAATCAGCATCTCGGTGCAGAGCATGTGTAGAGCAATCTTTGCAGAACCGTACCCAGGAAGTCCCACTAGTCGACGAGTGACCTTAAGCAGCATTGTAAATACAGACTTCTCAGAAAAGGCAGCATTTACACTGTTGAGGCTTTAGAGACAGGGTTGTTTTTTTTGTTTTGTTTTTTTTTTAATCTGTCTCACTGGCTGCCAAACATTAATAATCCACAATACTCAGCCATCCTACTGACCACACAGGCTATTTATTTCACTTAAAAGCTAACTTTAAGCACCATAACAACTGTTGCACCTTACATAGATTATGGCACAAGAATGTATTCTGCACACAATGATCAGAAGCTGGAGCAATGCCCATGTGCATGTTCAGCTCCAACTGAAAACAATAGGAAAGCGAAGACTGGCGAATAAGTATCAGCTGTTTCCTCGTTTTGGCAAGTTCACATCAGGAAGCTTAAACCCAAGAGATTGTCGTAAACACAGGTACCTTTCCTTTTTTTTGTATTTTAATGCATTTTTCATATAATTAACAACAAATGACGATAATTAAGTATCATTTTAATATCAAGGCAAATCTGTAGTGTTTCTCCTAAAGCACCTAGCCTTACCGTTAAGTACTTCTATATTCCTTTTTGTTTCCTGCCGCACTGTTTTTCCTTCCAGTTTCCCCAATGTATAATCAGAGCTTTCTTTGTTAGACAAAGACAGAAGTTATTTTAATTTAGTCACTAAATAGTGAGCTGATGATCATAGCAGGGCCATAATCTGCAACGCTTTTGGCTTAAAATGCAAACACCTTAGTTATCAAAGTGTTTAGATTAGCATTTAGTGAATAAATCTCTGTGATACAACCATTTAATAGCACAAACAGCAAGTACACGGATGTAACTCTGGGTCTCTAGTACATACCAGAATTATACAGTTTGTATTACATTTGTCTAATCTAATTAGGAGGCATAGAAAAAAAGAGCAAAGCTAGAAGCCCCTAAGGGAACCAGCTAAATGTGTGCCAGGGGCGACCATAGAGGGGGTAACCCTCATATATGTGTGTACAAAAAGAAAAGAAGACCCGGAGGGTCAAGAAAATTGGAAGTCCCCTAATTAAACTCTGTATATATAAAACATAACTTTTAATGATTGTAGTGATAAAATACTCCTAATAGAAAAAAGGCAAGGAAAACAGAACAAAATTAAAAATAGGTTAGATAGGTAGAGGAAAAAATCAATCGTTTCTCCTGAGTGGGATATATACCCCAATAATATAATCTCTTAAATGGATCCAATAGTATCTTGGAAGAGAAGGGGGTCCCAACAGCTGAAACACAGACTTGTCTCTAACTCGCTGTCTTAAGCTATAACGGCTAGAGCACCGACACCTATCTAACCTAGCTACCTGCTGCCTATCTAACTTAGCTACCTAGGCAGCAGGTAGCTAGGTTAGATAGGTCTCGGTGCTCTAGCCGTTTTAGCTTAAGACAGCGAGTTATAGACAAGTCTATGTTTCAGCTGTTCCAACTTTGCTACCTAACTGAGGGTTGTGGGTGATTTGGGGTATTTATCACTTGTTTTGGGCAGTTGTTACCTCTGATCTATTGGAGGGGGAAACCATCTTTTATTCCCTACTGCGTGCCCAGACGATAGCCAAGTAGGGAAGTCGTATTTTAGTGCCCCCTTGACCTGGTGCTTCACAACAAAGTATTTAGGGTCTGTATGGGCATTGCAGCTTATGCTAACAGAGGCATTGAATACATTGTATCACTCCACTACTGACTGTATACTAGCTGAGTAGTACTGTTTATCTACAAAGTAGCAGACCTTTGTTTGATTTTGTATCAGCTTCCCTCCTTGATGTGTAGCATGATTTGGCAACCTCAGCCACACAGGGCTCTCTAAGTGATGTTTAGAGGCTCTTTATAAGGGTTATTAGTTAACTACCACTATAAATGGGAGGTCCAAAATAGATTGCTCCGACTGTGATCATTTAAAGCTACGGTACGAGTACTGTATTGGGACCCCCTTCTCTTCCAAGATACTATTGGATCCATTTAAGAGATTATATTATTGGGGTATATATCCCACTCAGGAGAAACGATTGATTTTTTCCTCTACCTATCTAACCTATTTTTAATTTTGTTCCGTTTTCCTTGCCCTTTTTCTATTAGTAGGAGTATTTTATCACTACAATCATTAAAAGTTATGTTTTATATATACAGAGTTTAATTAAGGGACTTCCAATTTTCTTGACCCACCGGGTCTCCTTTTAATTAGGAGGCATATCCTCACATTCATGTTATATCTCTTACCTCTGTCCTGAGGCTGTGACGAGGGGTGAAGGACCATTTCCACTCCGCGGTTCCTCACATGTGCTCATCTCCATTATCACTTTGTCCAGGGACTTGTAAATAAATAGGACGGATTATTATAAAATCAATTAATTGAATTTGTATTCCTAATCTTACAGTGTTCCATTAATGAGCTAGAGTCAAAAAAAGAGGGGGGGGGGGGGAAAGGCTTCATATTTTTAAACGTAATGGTCTGCTATATGAGTTGTACACATTTCTAAAAGAACTGTCAAAATGAAGGTGAGAAAAAAAAGAAGCTTTTATCTGGCACAGTTGGATGTATTTCTCCTCTTTGCTTATTGCGCCTAAATTATGCATGTTGCTTCTCAACTCGCCACGGAGAGCAATAACAGGGACTGCTGAAAATAATAGTACTATCAGGAAATTAACTATTGCGATTTAAAATAATTACTGTTGACCGTAAAATATCCCAGTAAGCAAAACAGCTGCAATAGTCGAGTGTATGAATGGTCATTCTAAATCAAATTTCTACAAGTAATGCAATCACCATGCAAACAAACAGAATATTCCCTGTGTATACAAGTGGAGCACAAAAAGAGATTTTTTTTTTATAAAATGTAAAATTTGTCTTTGTATATGCCAGCAGGCAATTTAGTAGATCCCGAGTTATAGGAAGTAGAGCAGGTTATGTGTGTACACTAGAACAGCAGTTCAATCATAGGGAATCAACCAGTCTAACCTATGCACAACATACAATACAAAATGACACAATAAAACCACACTTCCTATGTTTTCTAAAAACACATTTTAAAAAATTCCAGTTTAATATAGAGCAGTATAAGATATGGACCCCTTGTTTCCAGTGATTCTTGCAGTTGTCAGCTTTAGTGTGTATATGCAAAGGCAAGCGTGGTTGGTATATATTAAAATCAAATCAAATAAAAACAAAATATATATGGTTGTAATATAAAAGTTGTATTAGCATACAATGGTCGAAGAAGGCTCTCTATCAGAATCCAGTGCTCCTCCAGTTTATCTGATCTAACTTTGGCTGGACAGCGTCTTTCAGGATGCAGGCAAGAGTCTCCCAGTAGTATATAAGTTTATCATCACTTGGGCTGTATCAATGGTATCTAGTGACTCACAGATCAACAGCAATTTAAACCCCTCTTATTTAAATTGAGTGTGTGGTCTTTATTATACCTTATTATCCTTAATATTTTTACATATTGAATAGGTAATTATACACAATCAATTAATTACATTCATAGCTTAGAATTAGTAGACCATTTTCTATAAAAGTGAAAAGATTAAAATAGGGTTGTTATGGAAACCTTTGCAAAATGCTAAAAGTGCATTTTGTAGAGTTTCATATATCCTTTAGTATTTCTCCAAATAAAACGGATATGTGGATATATACATGCATTACAATGATAACTTAAAAACTCTTATATGCAGAAGTTACAAATGGGTAGCCATGGAAACCTGCAACTGCACCAATTTTTTTTACTCTACAATTTTATGTTCTTCTCGCATAGGCTTAGATACACTACCCTGGAGGGAAATTATGCAAAGAGACTATCCTATTATTTACACAAATAATAATCTTGCTAACTGCTTCACTTGTGGAACTTTACCTCAAAATCATTCTTTACATATAGGATCTAATATATGTTTAATTAACTCCTTGAGGACACATGACATGTGTGACATGTCATGATTCCCTTTTATTCCAGAAGTTTGGTCCTTAAGGGGTTAAATGGACTGATCATATCATTTGTTGACGTTGCTGCTGGCAATGATTAACTCACTCTCTCTCTCACAATATCCAAAGAAGATTTGCACTCACAGGGCTTATTGCGAAAATATAAACAATGTGTTCATTACGTTTTTATATGCAACAGATAAGTCAATGCATGTTGGACGGCACCAGGCACTTTCTATCTCAACCATATATATTTCTGCAGCGAAATCACTAGTAAACGCACTAGTACACTAAAATACATGCATAATCCCATCACCAGCACAGGTTTTGCAGTTCAATCCTAGAATGCGCAATGTAGTGCACATACAGCATTCTGGGATGATTGACTCTCTCACTGACCAGCACATCTTATACCTTGATGCTGACTGACTAAAAGATATAATCTTATAATATTTTAAGAATCAGCAGTTTTTTGTTGTCAATACATTTCATGGCTGCAAGCTTAAATATAACATTTTCTTTTACCAAGTGTCGTCATGTCAATGGTTGCACAGCTGTTATGTTTTAATGAGTATTATTATTCAGTTGTAAATAAATAAAAAATACTAACCAGGGATATTGGATGTGTCTTCAGCTTTGTCCAAGGAATCTGCAATGTAACAAAGGATCAATAAAGCTTCAGTGTTCAATGTTACAAGCACTTCTCTTTTTCCCTTTTCACAAATCAATACAATTACTTGGGGTCATGCAGAAATAGTAGCATTTAAAAAAAAAACAAAAAAACAAAGTGAGGTTATGCATACAGATATAATAATGATGATGATGATGATTTTGAAATGAATTTGTGGGAATTTGGCAGAATTGATTAAAACAGTCACAAACAGGAAATTAATCATATCAGTTTCATTACTAGATTTCCAAATACTATTTAAATATTATGGTGTGAAAGTTGTAGACATCAACACAAAACAGAGATCACCTGGAAAGAAAAGATAAAAAAAAAAAAGAAAAAAAAAAAAGAAAAGAAAAGGAGGACTTAAAGGGATACTGTAGTAACTAAAACAACTTTAGCTTAATGAAGCCGTTTTTATTTATAGACCATCCATCTGAAGTCTCACTGCAGAATTTTCTGCCAATCATGAGTTAAATCCCTTTTTTTTAACACTGACCATGCAACCCTAGCCACTACTCTCCAGGTTGTGATGGATGCAGCCTGCATGAAAAAGTTTAGTTTAATTTGCATTCAGAGGTTAACTTACTTTAGAAGTTTTTGCTTTCTGCTCTATAAATTCAACTCACACACAGTAGGCTCCTGCAAGGTCTAGCAAGTTATTAACAGTGCAAGAGATAAATTCTAAATGAAAAAAACAAAACAAAAATAAAAACTGTACAATAAAAGAATTGTAAACACTAGATCTCAATTTACAATGTGTAAAACCACATGCAAGGAGGTGTGATTAGGGCTGCATTAACAAAATGATTTAAAGGAACAAAATAGGGTCATGAACACAAACATGTATTCCTGACCATATAGTGTTAAAACCACCATCTATTTATACAACTACTGATTATGCGAAATGGAATGATTATGGTGGTTACAACATTCCTAGAAAACTAGCAAATGCATCTAATATGCATGTGAGGGGAATTAATACAATGTATGCTAAACTACAGCAGAAGCTGGAGATCCAGTTAATTTGTAGCAAATGAAGAACATGTAACCATGAGATTAGTGGGTTTTTTTGTTTTTTTGAATTCCCTCATGAATAATCTCTTTAAACGAACAATGATTTAAACTAACCCGAATGGAAGCTTTGTTACAGAAAACCTTGTTGATGGCAAGCCAGGTAGGCAGGTCCAGCATGTTTTGGAGGACATCTTCATCAAGCTCCAAATTTGTCAGTTGACCTTCTCCTTTAAGGGTACTTAGATTTATTTTGTCTGGAGACAGGTTTTTAGTAAATCTAAAAGAAAAAAAAAAAATACAGTTTACTTGTGGAAATCCTAGTTGTCATTTAGATATAGTTTTCACTTGGAATAACATACATTTAGATCATCCTTGTCCTTTAATGCAATCCATTTTTGTTTAGATTTTAATCGGTTGGACCCAAATGATTTCAAAACAGTTATAATGCTACTGATACTCTTGTTTAGATGAAAAGAATACTTTATACATAAATTATGAGCTTTGTTCATACAGAATAGTCTAGCACTCATCATTAAGGTGAAACAAATGTTCAGTCACATATCAGGTGAACTACACTGTCTCCCACTAAACACTGCACATCCTAATGCCTCACCATTGTCCACAATCCAACCCATCATAATGGACCACAATACCTAGAGCAGATGTATAAATGTAATGTTGCTTCTAGACACCTCGGAACAGTAGGCTTCAGGCTAAAGCATTTCACAAAGAAATAATAGATTGATTCCTATCCATGTAAAGTAATCAGCTACAGAGCTCTGTGCCATAAACGTGAGGACCATCTTTGAAAAAGCCTTTCTGACCAGTGTTAACTTCTCTCTCAGAAACCCACATAGAGGCCCTTTCTCTTTTTCTTTTTTTTTTTTTTCTACCACCAACTGAGACATTAGTGGAGCTTTAGACATTTAAAGAACTGGGTTGTAATCGGGAAATATGGCTTCTCACCACGCACTGTTTTTCATTCCCAAAGCATCAATTAACTTTGTTAAACAACTGGGAATTACTGGATTAGGTGACAATCTGCTCCCGCTTGTACAGAACTGGTCTGGTTAGATAATACTCCTAAATTTGCCACATTTTATAAACTCTCCAATTAAATGTGCAATTACCGATAATGAGTTCTGGAAATATACAACCAGCTGAGCTCATTCTTTATTAATTAAAGGAGACAGAGATGACACTTACTGTATTCGTAACTAAGATTATAACAATCTAATGTTTATTATACTCCGTAATCTATATGTAAAAGAAACTGTCAAGGAAAAAGTATTTCATGGATACATGATCAAAATCATATATAAATTGAAACATAATATTAAATGTAAATTATTTAAAATGTCATATCTGGAGTCTGAGATGGCATATCATTCATTTCATAAAGTTTCCTTCTCACTATGGATTGGATTGGTACTCTGTAATTATGCTCCATATACTGCTCACGAAGTATTCTCAAGTCACTGACAATAGAACTAAATCTGAAAGTGGAATAGGATTTTGTGTCCTACTCAATTAAAAAATTATAGATACAGAACGGAATGTTTATTTTATATCCATCTTAAAGGACCACTATATACTCGTTTTCCTAGCACTATAGGGTCTCTAGGTCCCCCCACCCTTAGGGTCCCCCTCCCGCCGGGCTCTAGGGTGAGGAAGGGGTTAAAAACTCACCTTTTCTCCACCGCCGGGCTCCCTCGTCGCTGGGGACTCTCCGCCTCCTTTCCCCATCATCGGCTGAATGTGCATGCGCGCACATTCAGCCAGTCTCATCGGAAAGCATTCTCAATGCTTTCCTATTTACGCTGGCGTCTTCTCACTGTGAAAATCAAAGTGAGAAGCGCGGAAATGCCTCTAGCGGCTGTCAATGAGACAGCCACTAGAGGCTGGACTAACCCATAGCAGAAAGGGTTAATCCTAGATGGACCTGGCACCCAGACCACTTCATTAAGCTGAAGTGGTCTGGGTGCCTATAGTGGTCCTTTAAATAAGTGGTTTGTTTTCTGCCCATAAATTTATTTAGAATTGGTAACTAGTCTTCAGAATCTTCTTACAATCAAATCTAATTTAATCTCACCAAAAGTCAAAGTATAAATTGCTCTACGTAGACTACTCTACGTATGTCCATTAACAATGAGTGTAAAATTTGGAGCTGTATCCTTGCATACAGTAATCCAATTCTAGAATCCATCAACATGTCAATTTTGCAGGCATTATCCCAGGAAAAGAACGGTTCATATATTCATTCCTTCCCACCTAGTTCAAAATGTCAAGAATCATTCTGTTAGTTTCCAAAGTGATTAGGTAGCACTTTGCCCCAACACACATTTTTAGATTCTTTAGATTTCTGTCCCGATCAGGGCCGGCCTTTGGGGTGTGCGAGCTGTGCGGCCGCACAGGGCGCCATGGCAACAGGGGCGCCGGGCGGCCGACACAGCTCGCAGTTGCTCTGTCACTGGCCGGCCCGAGATTGTGTGAGAGCTGAGCCGCGGTCAGTTTCCGGAGCGTGGAGGAGGAGCTTGGGGCGCAGGCGCAGCGTCCAAGTGCTGCACCTTCACAGAGAGCCGCAGAGGGATCCGCTCCATGTGTGAGGGCGGCGGCCGGTGCTCTGCAGACAGGGAGGGAGCAGCAGCCTTCAAAGTAAGTACCTTATTTATTTTTAAGCCAAACATCTTTCATTAAATGGGGCAGGGTCTAATTAAGGGGGGCAGGGGACTAGATAAGGGTGCACTGGGTCTAATTAAGGGGGGCAGGGGACTAGATAAGGGTGGCACTGGGTCTAATTAAGGGGGGCAGGGGACTAGATAAGAGTGGCACTGGGTCTAATTAAGGGGGGCAGGGGACTAGATAAGGGTGACACTGGGTCTAATTAAGGGCAGGGGACTGGGACTGGCTATGGGTGACACTGGGTCTAATTAAGGGGGGCAGGGGACTGGGACTGGCTATGGGTGACACTGGGTCTAATTAAGGGGGGCAGGGGACTGGGACTGGCTATGGGTGACACTGGGTCTAATTAAGGGGGGCAGGGGACTGGGACTGGCTATGGGTGACACTGGGTCTAATTAAGGGGGGCAGGGGACTGGGACTGGCTATGGGTGACACTGGGTCTAATTAAGGGGGGCAGGGGACTGGGACTGGCTATGGGTGACACTGGGTCTAATTAAGGGGGGCAGGGGACTGGGACTGGCTATGGGTGACACTGGGTCTAATTAAGGGGGGCAGGGGACTGGGACTGGCTATGGGTGACACTGGGTCTAATTAAGGGGGGCAGGGGACTGGGACTGGCTATGGGTGACACTGGGTCTAATTAAGGGGGGCAGGGGACTGGGACTGGCTATGGGTGACACTGGGTCTAATTAAGGGGGGCAGGGGACTGGGCATGGTGACAGGGTAATTAAGGGGGGCAGGGGACTGATGAAGGGGTGGCATGGATTGCATTAATTGGCAGGGGATTTATTAAGGGGGCTGATAAAGGGTGGCAGGAAACTGAAAAGGGGGGCATGGGACTGATTAAAGGGGGGCAGGTGGGTGATAGGGGTGGGAGGGTACTGATGAGGGGGTCAGGGGGCTGATAAAAGGGGGAGGGGATTGGTGAGGGGGTCAGGGGACTGATGAATGGGGCAGAGGGCTGTTAAAGGGGGGGGAGGGGATTGATTAGGGGGTCAGGCGGCTGATGAATAGGGGCAGAGGGCTGAGTAAAGGGTGGGAGGGAATTGATGAGAGGGGCAGGGGACTGATGAAGGGGTGGCAGGAATTGATAAAGGGGTGGGAGGGGATTGATGAAGGGTAAGGGGTGGCTAGGAGTTTGACGAAGGGATGGCCAGGGCATTGATGAAGAGGAAGGGGTGGCCAGGAGTTTGATGAAGTGGTGGCCAGGGGCTTGGTGAAGATCTGGCCAGGGATTTTGGTTAAGAGGTGCAGTGGTTTTGTAGAAGGGGGTGGAGGCAACAGATTGTGAATGCTCCTAAAATAGTTTGAAGGGGTCCAAACAGAGACAGGTGAGGGGGGGGGCGCCACAAGATTGTTTCGCACAGGGCGCCTGAACACCTAAGGCCGGCCCTGGTCCCGATAATATTGTGGCCACTTTTACACTTTTACTTTTACACTTGAGCCCTTTTCTATTTTGTGCTGTGTGCAGAGTTACACTTATATAACACTACAATTGATGTATGTTAGATAAGACAAAGCTCGAGAGAGAAAAAAAAAAGTATTTTAATTTTCCAAATTCTTAGCGTAAATACGAAGTTTATATTTGACTATCGCAACAATCATACATAAAATAAAAGCAGAAACTTTATAGCAACATGTTGGAAATGCAGACGTAATGCTGAAGGAATTGAATTTCAATCAGGATCTGTGTCAGTACTGGTTTATTTAATGCTATTCTTAGACTCCATAAATTCTGTTGACAAATTTTGTTCCTGGGTGTATTTTGCAATCAGTATCGGCTGGATTCAGAAATGTTTCTGTAATAAATAGAATACTTGGACAATGACTAAAGTACTTATTGCCAAGTCAGAAGGTGGATGACCAAGCAGCAGGTGTATGAGGAAGTGAATATGTTCCAACACTAGTGAATGCAGAGGCATTATATCAAAACACAGAATAGACAAAAACTCAAAAGCATGCTGGTGAATCCCCACATACTTCTTAAGCTAGGTTTAGCTCATATGCAACACTAGTTCCAAGACCTATATTATTGGGGACTTCAACATTCCCATTAACCTACCCTTGTCCTCAGTAGCCTCAAGACTACGTTCAATGATTCTCCCTTGGGCTATCGCAGTGGGCTAAGTCCCCTACCCATGTAGCTGTCAATACCCTTGATCTTATTTTCGCTCATGAATGTACAATCGCTAATCTCTGCAACACTCCATTTCCTCTCTCCGATCACCACCTTACCACCTCTTATCATTTGTTTTCAAAGGAACCCTATCCCACCTATTCTCAACCTAACCCCCCTCAACCAAGAAGAAATCTGATTATATTGACCTCCAGCAGCGATCAGCTAATATTGATTTCCAACTTCTATCCATCCCTACTTTCTCCTGTTCCTCACTGGCTATCTCCTCATATAACACTACCCTCACCTCTGCCCTGGACTTTGCAGCCCCGCTCAAAACATGCATCTTGAGGAGAACATTCCCCCAACCGTGGCACACTAAATCAACATGCTACCTGCAGAGATGCTCCAGTTCTGTTGAACGCTGCTGGAGGAAGTCACGCACTCAGTCAGACTTCCTCCACTACAAATTGATGTTGTGTTCATACAGCACAGCCCTTGCCAAACAGTGATACTTTTCCTCCCTCATTAGCGCATGCAATTCCAGGCGTCTCTTTAATACCTTTAACTCCCTTCTTTGTCCTGCTGTAGCCACCCCCAAACTAGCCTTTACCGACAAGATTGAACAGCTAATGAAAGAATTCTCCCCACCTTACCGTTCTCTTTCTCAACCACACGTAGATCATGCTTTTCCCACCCTTCAGACTTTCTCCCAGGCTACTGAACAAAAGGTGGCTGCGCTTCTCCTTTCCTCTCGTCCGCTTGATCCTGTCCCGTCTCACCTGATCAGATCTCTCTCCCCCTGACTTGTGCTTTTCTTAACACACATCTTCAACTGCTCTCTCTCCTCTGATGTTGTCCCTGCTGGCCTTAAACACGCTACTGTAGTACCCATCTTAAAATAAACCATCTCTTGATCCATCCTCCCCTAACCATCATCCCATATTCCTGCTCCCTTCTTTCTCAAAGCTTCTGGAAAGACTTATTTACCCGTCTGACTTGCTTCCTTAATTCCGACTCTCTCCTTGACCTTCTTCAGTCTAGCTTCCGCCCTCTACACTCTACTGAGACTGCTCTTATGAAAGTCACTAATGACCTAATCACTGCTAAATCCAAAGGGCACTACTCCATACTAATCCTTCTTGACCTGTATGCTGCCTTTGACACTGTTGACTATGTTCTCCTTCTCCAAACTCTTCAATCACTCGGTCTCTGTGACACTGTCCTCTCTCTGGTTTTCCTCCTCTCTCTCTCTCTCTCAACGCTTATGCAGTGTCTTCTTTTCCAACGATACCACCTCCCATCGTCCGATCTCTGTTTGAGTACCGCAAGGCTCTGTACTTGGTCCCCTTCTATTTTCTCTTTATACTGCCTCTCTTGGCAAACTTATTACCCGATTCCCCCCCACCCCCCAATTTTTGAAACTCAATCTCTCTAAAACTGAGCTCCTGGTCTTTACTCCCCCTAATACTGATCCTCTTCTCTCCCTTCAAGTTAGTGGTACCCACATTAGTCCATCCTTGCAAGCGAGCAGTCTTGGCGTCCTACTTTACTCTGTCCTCACATTTAAACCTCACATCCAGTCTGTTACCAAATCCTGTAGATTCCATCTTAAAAACATAGCTCGCATCCGACAAGATGCTTGTCCATGCTCTAGTAATCTCTCGCATGGATTATTGTAACTCTCTCCTAATAAGTCTTCCCACAAGTCGTATTGCCCCGCTACAGTCAGTAATGAATGCTGCAGCTAGACGGATTTTCCTCTCCTGTCGCTTCACTCCCCTCTGTCAGTCCTTACATTGGCTTCCTGTATCCTATAGGAGTCAATTCAAGGTACTAATCCACACCTATAAAGCACTGACCAATTCTAGCCCCTCCTATATCTGATCCGCAGGTATGCCCCTTTTCGGTCTCTCCACTCTGCCCATGATCTTCTCCTGTCTGCTGCTCGCACCCGTACGGCCAACTCACGCTTGCAGGAGTGCCTACGACCATCAAGCTCTCCCCTAGTCTTCAATCTTTTAAGAAATGCATCAAAACCCATCTCTTTAGGAAAGCTTATGGCATCCCAGAGTAACCTCTACCTCACATACCTGTCCCTTGCTCTCTCCTATAGGGCATCACTTTACTCTCTCCTCCAGCTCTGCTTCACTCCACCTTGTTTGATTGCTACCTCCTGTCTGGTTGTGTTTTTTGCCCCACCTCCTATAGATTTAAGTTCGTTTGAGCAGGGCCCTCTTCAACCTATTGTTCCTCTAAGTTTTTGTAATTGTCTAATTTATTGTTAAATCTCCCGCTTTGATAATATTGTAAAGCGCTGCGGACTATGCTGGCGCTATATAAATACCAGTAATAATAATAATAATAATAATAATAATAATAATAATAATAATAATAATTGTAGCGGACCGGCAATATTAAATCCCACGAATTCCACTAGTACATACAGTAATCCACAGTCAGCGCTGAAAAGCAAGACAATATCCCAAATCCCCCAGTAACTGGACGAAACACAGTTCTGGGAGGTCTTTATTTGCAGTTCCAGTATTTTTGCAAGTCCCCATGCAAGGGGTTTCCACACTGACTTAACAGGGGTAACAGTAGGGGACTACATGGGGGGCTTCACATTCTGGGCATTTCTCCCATCAGACACTGCTGCACGAGAGGGATACTCCCACTGGAATGTACCGTTAAGTGGATTATCCCTCCGTGCAGTAGAACCGGCAATTTACTTTAAAAATGTATAACTTCTTTAATACTTAGTCGATTTACACAAATGGACGTTCGGTAGATAGCTGGGGTCTGAGCACACAGTTTGTGAGAATACCGCTCAGATCCCAGCTAAAACAACCGAACGCCGCCCGAAAAACACATTATTTATAACACAGGTTAAAAGTACCAATTGATAGTGGTGAACCAAACTACTGAACGGCCCGGGACTCCCGAACGGTCTGGGAGCCCAGCGGTGTTCACGCCGTCGAGTAGCTGTTTTCAGTTCCATGCGCTCGATGACCAAACACCGCTGGGGAACAAAGGATCCAAGATGGCGACCGCCGCGTGGTCGGTAGCCGAACGTCGGCCACCTAGAAGAGCCTCTAATTAACAAGCGCCACACGTCCCTTAGTGTGTGGGCTATTAACAGATAGTTCATTCAGTTCACGAACAGCTCGCAAAGGTGCCGTTCGTGAAATGAAATAGAAAATGACTATCTGCTTTCGGCCGATAGCCAATACAAGCCATACAGCATACAGGATACAGCAGATTACAACCAGGCACATATACAATGGTATTAAAGATACAGGCAACCCTTAAAAACATATTGTCTCTGTTTAGTCCAAGTGGCTAGGTTTGCCACAATTATAATCTACACATGTCCTTCAAAATGATTTGTCCTTGGAAAACAAAACTCAGCACAAGAAGGTCTTCTTTAACCCCTTAAGGACACGACATGTGTGACATGTCATGATTCCCTTTTCTTCCAGAAGTTTGGTCCTTAAGGGGTTAAAGGTGAGAGAATAGCAAATGCGTGTTATGCAAGTTGGTCCTGGAAACGCTTATTCAGTGGCGTAATAAGATTCGATGTGGTCCATCTTGAGTGACAGGCAGAAGGCAGTGCAGTGTACCCCCCTGTTGCCAGAGCAGGAACCTGCCTATTGGTACCTTACTCACAAGTGTTGTGTTTGTATGTGTGAGTCTGTGTTTATGTGTCCACATGTGTTTCTTTAGGAGCCTCAATGTATTTGTATCAATGCATGTCTGTGTATGTGTAAAATACAGCACCACTACTCAGAAATGCATGTTCTAGGTGTACCTCCAATTCCCATTTTTTCTGGTCTATGTATGCGTGTCCATGTGCATGTAATTACCCTAAAAAAAAAATTAAAAAAAAAGAAGAATTAGAATATATATATAGTGGTGTAGTGGTGCAGAGAGATACCCTAAATATTTATTTTTTACAGTTTGAGGGAGGGTGCTAAGTCTCCAAAGCATGCCCCTTCGCTCATTAAAACGGCCAATGAATCTTTTACCGAGTGTATAGATATAACGCACATTTAAGTAAGTTGTGGCTACATTTTTTGTATTGTAAACTGGAAAAGTAGGACATTTTTGAGGAGTGATCAGGGACAGCAGAATGTGGGTCACAAGTTACTAATTGAAGGATATTTTGAAAGTATTTACTTGTACAGGTCAAGCACACGTGCAATGAAAGAAAAACATCACTGCATACTCCTTTCTGTGAACGCTGCTCATTACACATACGGTAATCTCATTACGCCTTTCTTGAAGGTTTAGATATCAAGTTTTTAATGTTTTTTTTTGTTTGTTTTTTTAAACTGCATTTGAATGTTTTTTTGTTTGTGTGTGTGTGAAATGGTTAGTATTCTATTGTACATCATATTTCCCCACCTCCCTCCAACTTATCTCCTTTCTCCTCTGGCTAGGTATTTGAAAAAAAAAAAAGAAAAAAAAAAAAAAGGCATTGCTCAGCTAAACAGATGGACACCTACAAACATCTGCTCAAGGTGATACAAACCCTTAATAAGCGGTCTGCTTCAAGCTGGCCAACTGGTCTTGTGACATTGGCAAGACCTGACTCAAGTTAATCCCAGTAATGTGACATGTCCTAAAAACAAAAAGGCCAAAATATCACTGTCTTTGCATCTGACAAGTCTAAAATCGACTTCTATTTATAGATAACTGAAAATACTTTTTTTAATTCATGCACCTTAAAAGGACCACTATAGTGCTAGGATAACAAACTCGTTTTCCTGGAACTATAGTGCCCTGAGGGTGCCCCCACCTTCATGGCCCCCCTCCCGCGGGGCTGAAGTTGGAGGAAGGGGTTAAACATTTACCTTTCTCCAGCGCCGAGCTCCCCCGGCACTGGGGACTCTCCTCCTCCTTTGGACGTCATCGGCTGAATGCGCATGCGCAGTCAGTCAGTCCGTTCATAGGAAAGCATTCTCAATGCTTTCCTATGGATGCTGGCGTCTTCTCACTGTGAAAATCACAGTGTGAAGCACAGAAGCGCCTCTAGCGGTTGTCAATGAGACAGCCACTGGAGGCTGGATTTACCCATATGTAAACATAGCAGTTTCTGCTATGTTCATGGTAATCTATATCTCTTGAGCAGTTTCGTCGTATTCTTGTTAGTTGGCTTCTTGGGATAGTCTCCAACCATTTATCATGGTGACAACTCTTTCTATGTATGTAACTGTTACCATCAGTTTTTTTAAAATAACATTTGGACTGTACAGTCTGATTTTCAACAAAGAAGCAGACATCTAAAAAATTAATTGTAATGGGGTCTATCTCACAAGTGAATTTTAAGCCATAGTCATTATTGCCGATGTAATCCAAAAATAACTGCAGTTCTTTATGTGATCCTTGCCAAATCATTATAACGTCATCAATAAAACGTTTCCATAGGACCAGGTTCGCTTCCATTAAAGGAAAAAAAGAGGAGAAAAATAATAATGTATGGATACTTTATATCTTATGGAATATTTGAAAAAATGCAACATAAATTGGGATATCACGTTTTGTCCACCTTATAAGTGTGTGTGCTCTATTTTTATTTTTATTTTTATCTTTATTTCTTATTATATATTTTTACAATTATGATTTTATATTTATATTTATTTTTATTTTTTATTTTTATTTTTATTTTGCTTTTTTATTTATTTATTTTTGTTATGTTAGTTTGTTTATTTAATATTATATATCTTTATTTGATTTTAATTTGATCTATGTGCACATATATTATATAGTGTATATAGTTTTATTGTGATTAAGTATAATTAGGCTGTGATAGTTATATATATCTGGAATCTTGTAGTACTATTTGAAGTGTATAATCCTCCCTTTCCCTTTCCCCCCCCTTTCTTCTTGCCTCCGGTCCATGTATATTAAATCTGCCTCTAATGAGAGAGACTTGGAATAGAAATACGTGATTCATACATAGAAGGCATAAAGCACTTCCGGGTTTCGGCAGTGGAACGCATGGTGGAACGCATGCGAAATCGACGGACGCATGAGGATGACGTCATAGACATCGGCCACCGAACTGAAAATTCAAGCACCTGATTTGGATGAAGAGTTTTGTGGACATTGGGGGAGGTATAAAGGGTGGAGAAGGGAAGGGTTGTTTATTGTTCACTTGTATGCTGTCATTTCTGGTCACTGAAGTCCCTGAGGAAGTCCTACATACGGACGAAACGCGTAGGACCCCTGGTGGTGACAGTGAGATTACATCCATTGTTTTATATTTAGATGTAAGTGATTAAATTATTTTTTCTACATTTTTAAATATGTACTACAAGTTCTGTTTTTTTCTTTGAGCACACACCTTTTAACTGTTCCATGAGAGTTTAAAAGTGGTGGAAGAATCATTCCTGGAAGGGCATTTATGCTGAAAAGAGCAATTTATCTTGCTGAAAAGAGCAATTTATTTTCAAGGCATTCTTATTTCAACGAAAGTGTGAGTGGCCATTTGAAAACTACACATTTGGTTTACTCATACACACAGTTATGCGCTATGCACTGTTCTTGTCATTTGTTTAGCAGATCATCCCCTTTTTTGCTATACATGTTCTGTTGAAGACAGGAGGAAGTCTTCGGGGAAATCCTACCTGGTTCAGGGAGGTTTTTTTCTGCTATTTATCTGTTGAGCACTTATTGCACTGTGGTTTGTGCACACATATTGTTTTTTGCAAGGTTACAATCTTGCCAGCTTTTCATTTTGATGTTAAAACCGTTGTATTGTTTTTCCTTTTTTTCCCCACACGCACTGCTCCTTTCTCATCACTATGCAACCAAAAGCAGGCCACATCCGCACAATCAATAATGTAAATCGAAAAGTCCTGTTGCTATGTGTAAAAACACTATTTCCTTCTGTAACCAGTAGAGAAAACTCATATCCTCGGTCCCTGAAAATGAGTGCGGTTGGGAACAAGCAGAAGTAGATTTAACACAGCTTTCACATTAATTTATCTATCAGTCCTTTTTGTTGGTAGTGTCACTAATCAAATAAGTGTCTAACAAGACAAGGGAATGCAATATCAACTAATTGTCAAAACATGCAATGTGCATGGTTGTGTGATAGGACTGATTCATTTTGAAAGATGAGCAATATGTATTTAATAAGCCATCCGTGTCTAATTTGTAATGCAAGATTAAATTAAAATGGTTTATATACTTCTACTCTTCAAATATGAAAATTAAATGGAAGAGAAATATAGGATCCATTTCCTTTATAACAAAATATAGAGAATTTGTTGTTCCCTAATGGTTAATTTATTGTAGACCACTCTGAATCTTAGAGTGAATATGTAGTATATTGATCAATAATTTATTAGGTACATTTCTGGAAAACTAACATATTATAAACTCACATAACATTTTCTTTCAATCCAGGATATGGCTTACATACACACTTCGACTAAGCATTGGGCACAAATAAATTTAAACTGTGCATATGCTTGTAATTCGCACAATATGTAAATAAGACTCTACTCCCTCTATAATTGGAACCCCATCACATATGATATCACCTAATATACAGAGGTATGAGAGGGGTAAGGGAAGGAGCTACAGTTGGGCTCAAAAGTTTGCATAACCTGGCAGAAATATGACGGATCATGCAAAGAAAAAAAAAAATTAAATCAAAGTAATTTATTGAAGGATAGTGATCATGTGAAGCCATTTATTATCATATAGTTTTTTGGTTCCTTTTTAAATCATAATGATAACAGATATCACCCAAATGGCTCTGATCAAAAGTTTACATACCCTTGAATGAGTGGTCTTGTTACATACACACAAAGTGACTATTAAATGGCTATTAAAGGTTAATTTCAAACACCTGTGGCTTTTTAAAATTGCAATTAGTGTCTCTGTGTAAATACTCAATGAGTTTGTTAGCTCTCACGTGGATGCACTGATCAGGCTACATACTGAGTCATGGGGAGCAGAAAAGAACTGTGAAAAGACCTGTGCAACAAGGTAATGGAACTTTATAAAGATGAAAAAGGATATTAAAAGATATTCAAAGCTTAGAAAATGCCAGTCAGTACTGTTCAATCCCTTATTAAGAAATTGAAAATTTGGGGATCTCTTGATAGCAAGGCAAGGTCAGGTAGATCAAGAAAGATTTCAGCCACAATAGCCAGAAGAATTGTTCGGGATACAAAGAAAAATCCACAGGTAACCTCAGGAGAAATATAGGCTGCTCTGGAACACAATACAACGATACTATGAGCTGCATGGTGGAGTTGGCAGAAAGAAGCCTTTACTGTGCCAATGCCACAAAAAAAGCCCAGTTACAATATGCCCGACAACACCTTGACACGCCTCACAGCTTCTGGCACACTGTAATTTGGCGTGACAAGAGCAAAATAGAGCTTTATGGTCATAACCATAAGTGCTATGTTTGGAGAGGGGTCAACAAGGCCTATAGTGAAAAGAATACTATCCCCACTGTGAAGCATGGTGGTGGCTCACTGATGTTTTTTTTTGGGCGGGGGGAGGTGAGCTCTAAATGCAGGTGTGGTGACATTCTCTCATCAAACTAATATGGTGACCAGGGATCACGTGACCAAGCTAATGTACAGTGGGATAAGCTTTACCTTTTGAAATGGTAACTGGGTAATTCAATACCTTTACAAGTCAGGAGAGAGATGACCACTCCCCCCTTTCTCCATTCCTCTCTGTTCCTTCTTGGCTGTGCTGCAGAGCAGATGTGCAGACGCCATGTGCTAGCATGGTGAACCATGTTACTCTCTGTTGCTTCCTTTTCTTCCTTGGTGGATGTGATGTTGAACTTGCAGCAGTGAGCCATTACGCAGGGACATCTTGTGACAATTGATGGCAAGATGAATGCAGCATGTTATCAGAAAATACTGGCAGACAATTTGCCTTCTTTTGCAAAAGGCTGTGCATGACAATGACCCTAAACAAAGGCCAAGTTGACCCTCTAATGGTTACAGCAGAAAAAGGTGCAGGTTCTGGAGTGGTTATCACAGTCACCTGACCTTAATATCATTGGGCCACTCTGGGGAAATCTCAAACGTGCGGTTCATGCAAGACAACCAAAAGTCTTTGCAAGACCTGGAGGCATTTTGCCAAGACTAGTGGACAGCTATACCACATGCAAGAATTAGGGGCCTCATTGACAACCATTACAAAAGACTCACACTGTCATTGATGCTAAAGGGGGCAATACACAGTATTAAGAATGAAGGGTATGCAGACTTTTTAATAGGGGTCATTTCATTTTTTTCTTTATCGTCATGTTTTGTTTTAGGATTGTGCCATTCTGTTATAACCTACAGTTGAATATGAATCCCATAAGAAATAAAAGAAATAGGTTTAGCCTGCTCACTCATGTTTTCTTTAAAAGTGGTACATATATTACCAATTCTCCAAGAGTATGCAAACTTTGAGCACAACTGTATGTCGCAAAAAAAGAGGTATCATCACAGTGTGCAAGTCTTACTAAGTAGCCAATGGTGGAAGTGTCCTCTTGCATAGGTAGAAATGCCCTGCAAAGGGGGGTGTTTTTTTGGCAATAGCATAATACACTGAAAAGCAGAGGACTCCCAGTGAGTTACCAGACTGTTGCTACGTCAGACGGTGCAGGCTCGCACTTGACTTGTGCAAAAGTTTGTTTGAGCCACTTCATGCAAATCGAATTGCTTTTAGCCTACACCAGAAGGAGTGAACCCATCCAGAAATTACCTTTGGAGTCCTATTCGTAGAACAATGGGGATGGAAAGATAAAATTATAAATATGCTTAGTTATACACATTACTTTCTTAACAAAAGTACATATGTATTTTTTTTTCCAATTGACAATCAACTTACACTTTAACTTCCACTTCAACTGAAGCTAAATTTTTTCACAGGCATCGTACTTGTCAATCTCTACCTGTCTCTAGCACATTGTTCCCATTGTGTTCCTATGCAACAAATACAGGTAATATGAGAACAGACAAAGGCTTAGAGAAACTCTGTAGCTTGCCATTCAGTAAATCCCCGCTCATGTCTCAAAATAGTTTTTGCTCAAATGTGCTATTACAGAGTGAACCTATACTATTGCATATCAAACTCCTCACACCCTAAGGACATTCCAGAACCAAAAAGTGATGGCAAGTACTTTGTAAACGAGAGATACAGCTGCCCCGGAAGAACATTGTGGTCTTTTTTGTGGCTTATCTGCGACATGTAGCCGATACCTATGCACAGTCAGCATGTCTGGTTCACATCTGTGTTACCCATTTGCACTTGGGGAGAGCCAAGTTAATGCACTGCAATAAACAGACTAGGAGGGCTCTGAGAAAGGACAAAAGCTTAGAGATCAGGCGGTCGCATGGTGCTGGAGTTCCTCAGGGGAATCAACACTAAGAGTCTAAAACTCACCACTACTGCATGAAACCCCAGATAGTTCTCTGCTGATTATCTAATAGCTTTAAGCTAGCAGCTGGTGTTCACAGCCCATGATCTGCTTTCCTGCAGCCCCTCCTCAGCCTTGATCTGGACTATACTCGCCTAAGGCCCTATTATCCCCTACCCCTTTCTAAACCAGCGGGATATATCCAAGTCCACACTGGTGTACTGGCAGAATTCCATCCTGCAGCTGAATTAGAGGGTTGAGACCTGGCTCTCAAAATGGCCTCAAGCCTCTGGTTCAGCTGGATGCACTTTTTGCACAGTCATCCTTGCTCGAGGATTCGCTCCTCTTGAATTGTGACAGTGTTTGTGCAACTTTCTGGGTGAAGCTCTCCGAAAGAGGGCTCTCACCTTTACTCCTGCAGGCCGTGTTCCAGCCCCCAAGGTCCGTCAAGATGGCCTGTGAGGTTTGGATGGATCTCTCACACGTGTTCCTGGATGAGTGCTGGCTTCCACACTTGCTACAGCCTGGCTTGTTACCAGAGAAGCCTATCACTCATGTCAGCGGCGACATGACATCTGCAGTTGGCGGAAGAGAGCCCTGGCTGGGGATCAGTAGGTCTGCCTATGGAGGAGATTCCTGTGCTGCTTGTGTGCTTTGGCACAGTGGAGGTGGCTGGTCAAGGCTGGGTATCGACTTCCGTAGTTGGTGACTCAATCATTGCCTGAAGCCTGGGGATTGTATTAATTAACATACTTGCATTATTTATTGTTCTTTTCTGTTTTTTTATCTCCTAATTAAGCTTTTGCCATGAGTTTAACCTTCAAACCCAGGGGTTTATACAAGTCTTGTAACTTATTTACAGTGCCAGTTTCTACCATTGTCTTACCCACATCAAACTGTGTTTTTGAGGTTTCTCTTGTTGAGAAAAAAAAGTGTAGTATCCTCCACACCGCATGATATACCTATGCTTTAGGCTGTTTCTGTCTTACTAGCAGTGTCTACGTAATTTTGATTTATATCCAATGCACTCCAAAAATAAAGAATATCAAAACATTTTTATTTTTTTAAACATAGCTTAAGGTAAATCCTCGCTCAGGGCTGTTGTTCTCCGTACTCTCTTGCACCTTGTTTTTGTGCTCTCCTCAAGTTTAAAGGGTAAGCCAGACATGGACCCCTTGCTCATGGTGATTAGAGGGGTATCCGCTATACCTCACTGACTAAGGTTGAAATTATTGTCTGGGGCTGCATGCAAAGAGAGCCTGCCTGCATTTTGGATCTGGACTGCCCTTTTGGGTGCAAATGGGCCTGGTTCTTTTTGTAACACACAAGATGAGCTCAAAACAGAATGGTATCTGAGCTGGAACCAACTAAAGGTGCAGGCTACTTCCTTTACCTCACTTCCTCCTAGGTTACATGATCATTTAACCCCTTAAGGACACATGACATGTGTGACATGTCATGATTCCCTTTTATTCTAGAAGTTTGGTCCTTAAGGGGTTAAACAAGGCCATCCTATTTGTCAACATTACTTTGTTTGTCAAAGAATTGTTACTGAATTGAATAATTGTAAAGAGCTGTGAAATGTTAGTAATAATTAAAGATCACGGTCGACGGAGTAATAAATATGCTAGGTATCTTTGCAGACATCTCATTTTAGAATAAATGACATGCACCTTATAGCTGATTAGGTTGGATGAGTATGCTGACAGCATCAGTGGGCACATCATCCAATCCACAGCACCATATGAGGCTCCAAAGTAAATATTAAAACACAAGAAAGATATTTGTTTCTTTTGATTTACAAAATGAGCAGGAACCTGATATATTAAATGATAAATGTGGTTAGGTTTACTTTACATAGCAATTAAACCTTAAAAGGATCACTATAGGGTCACGAACACAAACATGTATTCCTGACCCTATAGTGTTAAACCCACCATATCGGTGGCTTGCCCCCCCCTTAACCCTTTAAAACTCACCTTATTTCCAGCGTCGCGCGGGTCTGCCAGTGCTGGCACCGCCCCCTTTGTGACATGATCAAAACAGACGATTTTTAGCCATGGCAAAGCATTGGATTGGGTAAAATCGGCACAGGGGCGGGGCCAAATGCAGTTTTGGCCAATCTGGACCTCCTCATAGATTTGCATTGAATCAATGCATCTCTGTGTGGAAAATTCAGTGTCTCCATGCAAAGCGTGGGGACGCTGAATGGCAGGGCTGCTTACTATGCAGGACTGAGCCTGGAAGCACTTGGAGGTGTCCCTAGGGGCAATGTAAACACTGCCTTTTTTCTGAAAAGACAGTGTTTACATAAAAATGCCTTAAGTGAGCTATTATACTCACCAGAACAACTACATTAAGCTGTAGTTGTTCTGGTGAGCATAGGGTCTTTAAATATATTGTTACAGTGTATTCTTGCTCTTTCAAGCAGAGGCAAAAATCACTCACTGTTGACAGATACAATAAATAGTGTTAAGGATTAAAGTAACAGGAGAAATGAAAAAAAACAATTAGGTCTGGAACAGAAAAAACAAACAAAAAAAAAAACACAAAAAAAGACCCAGTATCTGAACAAATTCCATTAACATGTTCTCAACATAGGGCAGCGCCTAACTGCCTTGAGTCATATACATCATTGCATCCATCATTTTGGATAAGCTAATTGGTAGAGGAAAATGCATTTTGTTAACTGCATATAAAAATGGAAAATATTTTTCTTCATTTATTTTTTTAACACGACACAATGACACAATCCACCCAGCCCAGTCTGGATTTAAAAAATGCTTTAGTCACTCAATCCACTAGGAAACAAAGAACACTTCACACTGGTAAGCAAAAGGGATTACAGTGTTCTTGAAGGGACACAACGGGCATAAATATGCAATTCGGGCATTCACACTGTGTGGCATGATTGCAGCTGACTCCCACTGAAATTATTGGAAGCCATTTCAAACCTCCCAATAGTTTCAGAACTAAGAATTTTACTTGCCTTTTTCCAGCAACGGCTTCTTCAGTGCTGCTCACCTGTCTGCCTCCCGTGACATCATCCACTGCTCCTCATGGAGTAGTATTAGATACCTGATGCACATGCGCAGAAAGCAAAGTGCATCCAAGCTTCAGCATAGGAAAACATTGTATTCAATACAATCCTAAAGGCTTCCGCATCACGTCACACCATTTCACTCACTGAGTGCGGCAGAAGCAGCACTGTAGCTGGAAAGGTTTTGCATTGCATGGTTAAAAAGGGCAGGAATTACCTCTACTCCTCTCTGTGTCATATTATGTAAACAAACAAGAGATGGCTTTGAAATCATTTGTCAAGATGTAATAGTCAATAATTCTACGGACACGAGAGATTTTACTTTCTCTTGTGTGTCCGTAGAATTATTGCCGATTACATCTTGACAAATGATTTCAAAGCCATTTCTTGTTTGTTTAAATGTACTGTTGTTGCTACTTTGGTTTATACATTTTGCACATAAAAGGGACAGGGCCACCTCCCCCCCCTTTAGTGTTCCTTTAATGTCGGTGTATAAGGGAACAAGAGCTAAAATAACTTGTCATAATGTCACAAAACCATGAAATGTTTATTACAATTAAGTGAGGCCTCATTATTAGTCTCTACAAGTCTCTACTTTCACAATAGAGCTGGAACGTTAAAAATACACTGAACAGGCAAAGATCACATAAAAACATTGTGTAATTGCTGCACAGACATGAATAAATGTAATCTCAGTGTTCGGAAATCATTATCTTATCAACAATGTTTATAGGTCTACATATTTTACTCTTATGCTGTTAATATGGCCTGCAAACATAATTTCACAGACATCAATATAATTTACTTTAAATATATAAAACATTGAGCATGACAAATACTGATTTGGGGTCAATGTTAAAATATAATGATAGCACCAACTATCATTTTAAACATAGGTTTTACAGGCATAGACTTTATTATTACCGGTCTCATTTGAACTCTAAAAAGCTCAGAAAGGGGAATGACTGAGCTGTCCCTACTCTGAATGAAACATGAACCAAGGTTTGAACTGGTATAACAATAAAAAGGTAAAACACATGCTACAGTCTAAAGGTTATTTACACAGGTTTAGGACTTGGCATACACATCAGAAGGCCATGTGTGATCAAAATATGTATGCTATAATGTAACACAACACATTGACTTGCCAGTTACAAATTTAGGATGATGCCCAAATATGCAAATATAAGCATACAATGATGTGTTCACAAGCCAATACTATTATATATTTATCTTTATCCACTATACTGGAATTATCAATTCGAGAAGAAAAATAAATAAAATGATAAAGTTGTTTTTGTTTTCAGATTTAGCAATGCTAGCCTACAATCACTCACCTTATTCCCAACACCAGAACTTCTCTGCTGCAGCTGCCTGCGTCACCTACAAAGCAATGAATTGGAGGTACGCATGCGTGGCTAAACTAAATGCTGCATTCCTCCAATCAAATGCTGCTATCAGGTCAAGCTATTGAGGTTCTCTAAGCTTTTGTCCATTCCCAAATTTCTCATTCCAGAGGAGGAAGACAGTAACTAGAGGTGGAATTAACGGCCACAATGTAAACCTTAAAAAAAACCTTCAATGTTTTACACTGCAGAATTAAAATGACAAGAGCACTGACCCCAGAACACTTCATTGAGATCAAGTGGTCTAGGTGACTATAATGTTCATTTAAATACCTACCTAACATGAACAGCGTCACATAGACACTCTTCTAACCCAGAAACCATTGATATTTTACAACAGATGAATCAAAGACCACCAAGACTAGCTTAGCACGCTTGCCACATCCATTAGCTCAGAGGTGCCAAGAGAAGAAGAAAGCCTCTACAGCTTTCTATTGTAATCAGCACTTTTATAAATGACCAGAAATAATGGCAGACTTCAGACACAAAGTTTTTCAGCAAGCTGAAGAAGCAGTGTTTATTCTATTGGGTGACCAAGCTAAAATGAGTCCCCATTAGAAATAATAGCCTCATCATTTTATCATAACTAAGACAACTGCCCAAAATAAGTTGTTTACTGTATTGCAATCGTCTTTCCCAGTCAACTGGGGATCCATCGGATACTGAGAAGAGACAAATAGTTTTGTTTTCTAAAAAACATTTGCTTACATTACCTCTGAAGTGTCAGGGAGCTAAATGTACAATTGAACACGGAGTCACCAAGCTAAAACAATGTACATAATTTGGGTGACAAAATAAATTGTAAAAGCTCTTCTGTCACCATCTGGAGACTTTGCATAATTCTCAAAAAGTACGGGATTAGGAGAGTTACACATACCTGAACCTGTCCCATACCATGCTCTTCCTGCCTGTCACCTTCATCTTCTGGCACTACAGTTGCCAGCAACCCACGTCAGCGATGGAGTCAGCCATGCGCTAGAGTACAACACTGAGGTATATTGAAGATCTTGCGAGACTGTGAGATTCTCAGAAATCCATACTACTCTCAGTATATCTTTTGATTGTGTTTGAATTCCAACACAGTCAATGTATTTTATAATTCTAAAAATCATGAATGTATCAAAGATATTAGCTAGCCGCACAGGTTTCCCGAGGAAAATGTATATGCGAAGCTCCAGACACCCCACACCCCAGCCCCTTACCTTAGGTAGTGCTGGCATGGAGTATCTATGTCCATGTGGTCCAATGGGTCTGCTGGGCTGATCGTGCGGTCCCTGAGCGGCTGGCGGCGAGGGAGCAGTGATCTCCCTGCTCCCTTGCACACCTCTTAGTGATGCCAGAGCAACATCATATTCCGGCTTCGGCATCACTGCTGTGCGCGCAAGGGAGCTGAGCAGGGAGATCACATTTTGTTTTTAGAAATTTTGGCAAAACCCCATTTGTGTTGTCGCGGAACCCCAGGGTTCCATGGAACACCAATTGGGGAACGCTGGTTTAGACCATCTATGAATAGGAGACATAGTTTGAAGGATATGAAACAGACCACTAATTCAATCTGCTTATTTGATACATTGTGGTGCTCTTAAAAACCTTGAAAATAGATCTGTAATCTTAGAATGCTGGTGCTCAACCCAATTTAACAATATATTTATTTTTGCAGTATTCACACCATAGAGTAATTACAATACAAAAATCACACATATACTCTTCAAATGATACACATTTATAGGTCCATAAAAATGGTGAGGATGAGAATAATTTACCTGAAGGCAAAATATTTTTTTTAAAAAAGAGGTCACATTCCTGATGTATTTTGCCTGGCACTCTGCATTAGTATCAGCAACCATTTTGGAAGTTAATTCACAAGGAAGCATTTGCACGACTGCCAGCATGGATGCCTGCTCGGAGGGGGAAGTATGGGGGGGGACACATGGGAATCATAAAAAAGGTGGGGGAGAACAGGAATAAAAACCATTAAAAATGCCTTATCTACTTACGGAAGGAAGGAAGGAAGGAAGGAAGAAAAGGGAAAAAGAAAATTATCAAAGCACAAATAGTTTTTTGGGGTTTTTTTTCAGCAGAATACAAAGCTGAAAGGTTATCATTTTTTTCTTTACATTAATTGGCAGTTCATCATGATCATAGACAGACAATGAGTGGTTTATTTACTTGAAAATCAGTGGAGAGTTGTCAAACAAGCAATAAAATGTGGCCCTGGCAAAGACTCCGTTTTCAATTGTAGTATGCAGTATTTGGGCACTCTGCCCATGGAAAACTGATGCAATAGACATACAAGTTATGTTCTATCAAAGGACACATTAGGCTTTTTCCCTACTGTACTTAGGACATTCCAAACCGCTAGAGCATTCATTTTGTGAAGAGTGTCCTTTTTCTTCATTTTACAGAAAGTAGCAGATTTTAATAGAAACTAGCCAATTTTATAAATGAACACTGCAAGGAGGGGTGTGTGAGAAAAATAAAACAACAGGTTCTGCTACTTCTTGGTTGTTCAGCTCAGTGGAGCTAAACACAAGAGACAGGTCATTTCTCAGAGCACATCCTCACAAAAACTTCTCATTGAGCTGAAATCTGTGATTGGACAGCCACAGAAAGTCTCTGTTGGGGAAGAAGAAGAGGACTTGCAAATGCTGTAAGTCAATGGAACTACAGCTTTATTAAGCGGTTTTTAGATATACCCCCAATGAAAATGCTTTTTGGGGGGAATTAGTCTGAGTCATCAGGCAAACCTAGACATACAAGTCAAGTCAGCAAATGTCTCCTACATTCTATTCTGATCAATTCATCACAATTTACCATTTCATAATTAAACCCCTTATAGTTCTGGACAGAGTTTTATTATCTAGCTAATTAAATTTAAAAAACAGTCTTTCATTGGATCAGTGGATTGCATTTACAAAACCGACCTTCATGGAGTTAATGTCTACTGTTGCTTTTCCATGTAACCTAGGCCAAGGAGGTATAAATAATAATTGTTTAAAATCAGTGCATAACTCTCTGGACTCCTTTAATTTTCAATAATTTTTTTTCTATTTTGTGTAAATGAATATAGGGATAAGACAAAACATTTTATATATTCTAAAGTATCCAACGTTTCTCATTGAGACAGTTCAATGGTGCTCAGTAATATTAAAGGACCACTCTAGGCACCCAGACCACTTCAGCTTAATGAAGTGGTCTGGGTGCCAGGTCCAGCTAGGTTTAACCCATTTTTTAATAAACATAGCGGTTTCAGAGAAACTGCTATGTTTATTAATGGGTTAAGCCTTCCCCCTAATCCTCTAGTGGCTGTCTCATTGACAGCCACTAGAGGCGCTTGCGTGCTTCTCACTGTGATTTTCACAGTGAGAGCACGCCAGCGTCCATAGGAAAGCATTATGAATGCTTTCCTATGTGACCGGCTGAATGCGCGCGCAGCTCTTGCCGCGCGTGCGCATTCAGCCGACGGGGAGGAGAAGAGGAGGATCGGAGGAGGAGAGCTCTCCGCCCAGCGCTGGAAAAAGGTAAGTTTAAACCCCTTTCCCCCTTCCAGAGCCGGGCGGGAGGGGGACCCTGAGGGTGGGGGCACCCTCAGGGCAGTATAGTGCCAGGAAAACGAGTATGTTTTCCTGGCACTATAGTGGTCCTTTAAGTGGAGCGTGTTGATGTCTAATATTTTTAACCTTAAATTCTCGCAAGTTCTTAAAGGAACACTATAGTGTCAGGAATACAAAATGTGTATTCCTGACATAATTCTATTAATGCTGTTTAGGCACTTGGCCCCCCTGTTAGCAAAGGAAAAGGTGATTTTACTCACCTTTTTCCTGCACCTCGCGGGTCTCCTCGCGGCTGGTTCTGCCCCCGCTCCCTTTGCGGAGATGAAAATTGAGGATTTCTCCACAGGAAAGCATTGCGAGGCTATTGCGCATTCTCGGAAAAACACTGTGCTGAACTAATCAGGATCTCCTCATAGAGATACAATGAATCAATGGATCTCTATGAGGAACGTTCAGCACCTACATGCAGAGCTTGGAGACGCTGAACGTCAGTACTACATATCATGCAGCACTGACCCAGGAAGCACATCTAGTGGCTGTCTAACACTAAAAGGCATTGTTTACATTACAGCCTAGGGATACCTCCACTGGCCACTATTCAGATGGCTGCTAAATCTGCTTCCTTAAGCAGTCCTGCCTAATGTGCAGCACTGCCATTCAGTGTCTCCACCCTCTGCATACTGACACTGAACTTTACTCATAGAGATGCATTGATTCAATTAATTTCTATGAGGAGATGCTGATTGGCCAGGGCTGTGTTTGACTTGTGCTGGCTCTGCCCCTGGTCGGCCTCCTTGAAAGTCTCAGCCAATCCTATGGGGAAGCATTGTGATTGTTTCTGACCACCACTTCTGGTGGGTTCTAGATGGTGGTTTTAACACTACAGGGTCAGGAATACATGTTTTGTTCCTGACCCTATAGTACTCGTTTAACCCCTTAAGGACACATGACATGTGTAACATGTCATGATTTCCTTTTATTCCTTTTATTCCAGAAGTTTGGTCCTTAACAGACAGCAACTATAGGTATTTTCTTAGACAAATGTAAACATTACCATTTGCTACAAATCAGTGGTTTACATTCATTGAGAAAAGGGCAATATATATGCACAATAAGATTTAGTAAATTTGGTTATTAGTCTATCCCTTTAAGCTAATGGTAGAATGAGTCTTCCATCTATTTTATTAGCTTTCAATAATAGAAGAACCTCCAGCTATTTAAGCTGTGAATCATGTATATACTAGAGCCAGGAGAGGTAGTATTCACTTTAAAAATTAAAAACTTGGCTCATTATTCCTCTAAATAATGATATAATATATTATACTTTGTACTGCAGTGAGACCCAGATCGAAGATTTTCCCCAAGTAAGTGGGTAAATCTCAGGAGAGCAGACATTAGGGTGTTAGAGGTACATGGACGTTGTGGCAGTCTTATGCAATATATGATCATATATTGTAACTAAACCCTCATTTTTGCCTATATTAGGCGTTTAAAAATTATTATTTTTTTTTAAATAAACTATTCAAATCTGTAAGCTTTAAAGTTTCTGTTTAGTGGATATTGAGATTTAATATACATCTCGAGTGTTCAAAAATTCTGCTATGCATTACCACAACATTATGATAATTCTACAGTTATCTCATTCAGTACATTCTTCCAATGTGCATGTTCAGGTAGGACATGAATAACCTGTCCATTCTGGTGGTTCAAGGTAGACAGTGTTTGTATGTTAACACTCCAAACACCATAACCACTACATTGGCCTGGTGCCCCCAATTTAAGTAGCCAAACTGTTTGCCAAGACTTTGACAACTTACCTGGGGTCCACAGGGTACCATTCACCTTCTCTATGAGAGCTGGAAGCTCTCTCCATTGAGATCTAGATTTTGGTCATCTCTGAATTCAATGATGTTTAGAGAATACATGATTGCATGACAAAGTAACTGAACTGGAAAAAAAAAAAAGTCTCTGAAGTGGCTGTTTTGGCCTAACTTATTGGCCAGCTAACCACAACTCACTGTTTAGAAATAAATCATTTAAACGTACCAGGGTTACTGCAGGGCACTTAAAACACACCCTGCAGTGCATAAATTCTTACATAACTCCAAAGTTCACCTTATTAAACACTGATCATACAAGCTTAAACACCATACAGTCATAACAGAAATAAAAGCACAGATTTAAATGTAATGAACTACTCCACCAAATACTCAATAATGTCACACAACAGGTTTGGACAACTTTACTCAGCTCAGCTGTTTTTAGTATAACTCTTATCAGCATCAGCCAGATGGATAAACAATATGGACAAAAGTATTGGGACACTTGACCATTACACCAACAGGGACTTTTATGACATAGTATTCTAAATACATAGTTATTAATATGTAGTTGGTTCCCCCCCTTTGCACTCTTCTGGGAATGCTTTCCACAAGAGTGTTGGAGGGTTTGTGGGGGAATTTTTGCCCATTCATAAGTAGAGCATATGTGAGGTCAGGCAAATGTTGGATAAGCAGGTTTGACACGCAATCTCCGTTCCAGTTCATCCCAAAAATGTTAGTTGGGATTGAAGTCGGGCCACTATGAATACCAGTCAAGTTCTTCCAAACCAAACTCATCCAACCATTTATGGACCTTGCTTTGTGCACTGGGGCACAGTCATGCTGGAATAGAAAAGGCCTTCCTCAAACCTTTTCCACAAAGTTGTAAGCATAGCCTTGTCCAAAATGCCTTGGTATTCTGAAGCATTAAGATATCCCTACACTGGAAATAAGGGGCCTAGCCAACCCCTGAAAAACAGCCCAGTACCATTATCCCTCATGCACCAAACTATACAGTTGGCACATTGCAGTCAGTTAAGTAACATTCCCCTGGCATCCCCCAAACTCGCCAATCAGACCTGCCAAATCGAGAAGTGTGATTTGTAACTCTATAGAACACGTTTCCACTGCCCTAGAGTCCAGTGGCGGCATGATTTACACCACTTGATCCAACGCTTGACATTTTACGTGGTGATGTGAGGCTCGAATGCAGCTGCTCAACTATGGAAACCCATTCCATGATGCTCCGACCTTGCAGTTTTTGTGCTGATATCAATGCCAGTGGAAGTTTGGAACTCTGCTGCTTTGGAATTAGCTGAGCATTAATGACTTTACGCAGCATGTGCATCAGCACTCTGACGTTACGTGGTCTTTGCTTCATGGCAGAGTTTCTACCATTACAAAATGCTTCCAGTTTCCAATAATACCACTTACAGTTGACCGTGGCATATCTAGCAGGGATGAAATTTCACGAGTAGACTTCTTGCAAAGGTGACATCCTATCAGAGTACCATGCTTGAATTCAAGTTCTACTTCAGTCTACATTCACAAATGTTTTTAAATGCAGACTGCAAGGCTAAGGGCTTGATTTGATACACCTGTGGCAATGGGCCTGATCGAAACCTGAATTCAATAATTAAGAGGTGTGTCCCGATCATTTTGTCCATATAGTGTATTTTCAAAGCCAAATTTACAAAAACCTCTAGCTATAAACAGTATAGCTTGCCTCATTTTATGCTCCTCAGCCCCAAACTCCCATATAAAATTAATATGACAGGAATTTCAAGCGCATATCATAAAATGGGTGAAAATGTAGTTAGCAAAAGCGCTGTAATTACCGTATATACTCGAGTATAAAAGTCACGTTTTTTTGGCACATTTTTTGTGCTGAAAAACCCCCACTCGACTTATACTTGAGTCACTGTCTGTATTATGGCAACTTACATTGCCATAATACAGACCAGGACCGCCGGGCTCATTACAAGCCCGGCGGTCCTGTTGGGGGCTGGCAGCGAGCTGTAACTTACCTTTCCTGCAGCTCCTGTCAGCTCCCTTCTCCTGCGTTCCGGTCAGCTCCACTGTTAATCTCGCGAGAGCCGCGGGGTCATATCGTTGCCAGGGGTTACCGTGGCAACGCTCCGTGCGGCAGTCACACCGTGAAGCTTACAGGGGAGCTGACTGGAACGCAGGAGAAGGTAGCTGACAGGAGCTACAGGAAAGGTAAGTAACAGCTCGCTGCCAGCCCCCTCCTACACAGCCCATGCCACTGGACCACCAGGGTATGAGAGCCCCCCTCCCTGGCCAGCTAACAAGCAGGGAGGGGGGACGAAAATAAATTTAAAAAATTTAAATACTATTAAAATAAAATAAAAATATTAATAAGATTAAAAAAATAAAAATGCCCACCCCTCACCAAGGCTCTGCATACACACACTGCATTCATACACACACACACGGTATTCTATACAAACACACTACACTCATACACACAGCACTCATACACACACTGTATTCATTTTATACACACAGTGTAAATAAATATTCAATTAATATAATTTTTTGGGGATCTAATTTTATTTAGAAATTTACCAGTAGCTGCTGCATTTCCCACCCTAGTCTTATACTCTAGTCGATAAGTTTTCCCAGTTTTTTTGGGTAAAATTAAGGGTCTCGACTTTCAATATTCGGGTCGACTTATACTCGAGTATATACGGTACATGCTTAATGTGCACTGCACAAATCTGAAAAGTTTTACTATTTTGTACAGGCATCTTGGGGCCAATTCAGCTATGTGCAGGATTATTCGCTACAGTAAGAATTGCCAGGATTTCAAAGTGAATTTAAGGACAAAATAGATGCATAAGAAACAGAAAACCTTTTTGAATTCAGCTACTTTGGCCTAAATTTTGAAAATCACTTTGGATTCACTTTGATTTCCTGGCAATTCTTACTTTAGTAAACCACCCTGAGCAGTCAAAACAGCCACAGCTAAAAGGCCGAAACCTATCCTAGAGTTACCCTGAAAACAGAAAGATTTAAAAAATATATATATATATATATATATATATATATTATTTTTTATTTATTTTTAAATGTCCCAGGTTTTTAAAGCAAAGAATTAGACATTAACTTTATGTCTTTTGGAAAAGCTGTGTTTCTGGCTCATGGAATGCATGCTGCGCAATAATATTTTATTAAAAAAATATAAGGCTTTTCATAGAATAGAAAACAGTCAATGCTGTTTTTTTATTTTCTTCGAAAAAAAAATAAAAAATTGACTGCTACAGGGCTATACAACATTGTACCTTTCAAACAGCATGCCTGACTGATGTCAAAGGATGTTTGAACAGAAAATGGAACATATATAACACGGCTACAGCTCTATTCTGACCACAACACTGCAGAAATTGTCTCTCAGTCAATTCTAATTCAGGCCATTTCCAGGCTACTTTTAGTATTGATGGGGTAGTTGGGATTTGGACTGTTTAAGGTTAATCCTAAAGACCCTCTAACCCAGTGGCTCCAAAACCGGTCATCATGACCCACCAACCGTTCAAGTTTTGTCAGTATTTCCATTTGAATAAAACAGGGAAATCCATAAATCCTGGATTGTCGGTGGGCCACAAGGACTGGTTTGGGAACAACTGCTCTAACCCTAAACACACCATAGCTCTAAAGTGCAGTGGTAGGTGAGTAACCTCAATTGTAATTAAAGGGTGTTTTTATTAGCATTTGAACCAGTGGCAAAGTGAGAATAGGAAAGTACTATAAATTACATGTAACGAACACTGGTATTTCGTACACGCGTTCGTTCGTGTGCTCCTGAACTGCTAGGTACTTGGTGATTATAGCCTGCAGTTCGGAGCGCTGATTCATACATTCCCAAGAATCAAAGTGCAGCATGAAAGTGAATCCAGCAAGTAAATACAGCAAGAATAATTTTATTCAGGCCAGATGGCCGGCTTTTATGCAATTTAGGAGTACAGTATTCCTGCACACAAAAACTCCCACAAGACGCCCACGAAATTCTGAGTCACCATGCATAAAATACAAAATACTGAAAATACATAATGCACATAAAACTGATAGGAACCCCCATAAATGTCATATCCCCGGACAGCCTGTATCTGAGCGGCCAAGTTGTCCAAATAGCGCTCAGATCCCACTAAGGATTCCTATTGGTAGGACGGGGCCTGTCTGCCATACTGATCGGCTGCATGCTGGAGAGGCTCCTGCAGAATCTGGCCTTTTTATGCAGAAATTCAGAGATTACTGCAACCATCTATGCTGTGTGGACTCACAAAGTTTGAGAGTAGTTTTTGGTGCTAATGTGGACTCCGAGACCAAGAGTTTTGAGGCCCATATGTGTGTTCTGAAACTTTGGAGCTTGCGGCGGGAGAGCAGCGGGACAGGCGGCCGCTGCCCTGCTCATAAGCCTGGCTGCCATACAACAGCTCTTTGACACTCCTCACAAGCCCTGATCCCCCACTCCCCCATGGACCGGTGGGGGTTAACCCGGTCCCCACTGGAGACAGCCAACACCAGTACAGATTATCTGCAAGCCCACCCTCCAAGCAATCGGACACTTGCAGTACACCTACACAATGGAGACTATGCGGCCTACAATGGGCAGCCTGTTAATGGATGCATATTTGAGCTATGACGTCTGCTGGTTACTGGAATTTTGTCCCGCAAGCCGAGCCTCCGTACTGGGTAATTGAGAATGGTCCCCACGCCTGCCTTCCTGGGCTTTGAGCCCCTAGAGCAACCTTCGGCACTCCAGATGTTATGGATGTCCCACACAATGCTCTTACACCTATAATGCTGGCAAAGCATCATGGAAGGTGTAGTCCAAAACATTTGGAGTGCCGAAGGTCGACTATTCATGCCATAGAGGTTATCCCTCCAACCACTGCCCTAAGCCTGGGCAGAACATCATATCCAGAACCCCCATTGTTGGCCCCAAATGGAGCCAGAATCGAGGGCACAGGTTAAAGGCTCATGTTGTGCCTGGGGCTGGCACAGTGGCACCCACCAGACTCACCTCCATGCCGGGACACTGATGTTGACGTACCCAAGCAGGAGGAGGGAATGGGCTGAGCCCAGAGGATCCAGCGGACGTGCCTGCACGCCATCACCACCAATCTCCTGGAGCTGTGCCCGAAGGCTCTGCAGCATTCCAGTGTCTCCTACTCTATTTTACCATGCTTGTGTTTACCTGCTTTAATTTATTTTATTTTTTTGTACATCTCTTGTTACTCAACTCTTTTCTTCAATCTATACTACAGCTACTAGTATTCTGCTATCAAGCCTAGCAATTTGTTGATTTGTTTATCGTTCCAAATTTTTTTTTAAAACTTTGCTGTATATTAATATCTACATTGTAGATTCACTATATTTTACACACACACACACACACACACACACACACACATACATATATATACATACATATACATACACACATATATACACATACATACACACATGCACACACGTTATCAATCATTTTAACTAGTGGGATCAAATAAAATGAAGTATTCAGATATTTAGATTCTGGTCACCTAAATCAATGAAGTACAGAAATCCTAGATTTTTCTATTAAAATGATTTTGACATGGAGGTAACTATTATGCTCTTATTTTTTTACTTGATTTATTTTTTTTATTTTATTTTTTTTAATTATTCTTTATTTTTGCAGTGCAGATTCAAAGACATGTTGCCAATATGACATACAGCATAAAATAATGTAACAAGACAGTTTTGAGTAGCTGCACATTTTTTAGTCCCCACGTCCAGTGTTACAGCTTGGCTGGGAACTCGCAGTCCTCCACCCACCCTGGATCCAAGACCAGTATCCTACTCCAGAGAGTATAGCAGGAACAGCTCTTATAAGAGCTAGTGATTATAATCCCAGGAGAGTGTAGTGATATAGCAGTTTCCCCCACACGAGACGAGGAACTCATTTATTGGTAGCCACACTAGTCTTTTATGCAAGTCCCCATGCAAGGGGTACTCCCACATGGACCTTGTGGGGAACTAAAGTATAAAGTCACAGACCAATGACAACAGTGCATGACACCATATTCAAACATGCAATCCCTCCCGTCTGCCTGGGAGATAATTGAGTCAGATACTGTATTAACACTCCAGGCTGATTTTTTTAAAATATTTTTCTAAAACCCCAAAAGTACCCCTAAACTCATGGAAACCCTATAAAGGTTATATCCCTTGATAGCCCTGATCTGGGTGATCAACATATCCAAAAGTCACCCAGATCGGTTCAGGAGTTCTGGATTTCCATGGAGAGTTCGAAGTCTTACTGAGTGAAGAACGTTAATAAGGTGGCACACTTCTCATACAGTGGTCCAGTCATTTGGTGGTTTATTCAGCATTCGAACCCAAACTCTTGATCCGTTGGGTAAATTCCGTATATGACGAACCATACAAGTCCAAAAGGCACAAACAGTGTCTTTAACCACAGTTTATTACAGGGGCCATAGTCATAGGGCAAACAGGCTCCTCCAAAAGCCAGTGGCGGGGTTACTTTCGCTACAACGTGTTCCTCCTGAGGACAAACGTCGTCCACAAGACAGGAAGCAAGGAATGGAGTAGGTTTGCATTCAGAGGAAGATGGGAAAGAGCCTTGGATTGGTTCATATGAGACATGGGCACCACAGCTGGACAGACTAATACTCCAAAGAACTTGGGTGAGAACACCTATTTTATGGACGTCTAAAGAAAGTTTCACAAATTTTTCATGAAAGATTCGCTAAACAATAAGTCTGTAGCAGCTTCCCAAGGCTCATTGATTACCATGTTGACCAATTTAGGTCCAACTTTCAAAAGAACTGCCTTTTGACCTTCCGTAGACAGGGCTGTGCTGGCGTACCCCACATGCAGACTATGTGTTGGAGCCAACCTTTCGCCACCTCAAAGTCAAACTGGAGTGTGTCTCTGCGTCTTCAATCAGCTCGTAAAGTTTTGTCACAAGACCTGGAGATTGGTTTCCAATCCATCTTAGACAGAAATTGGGTGATTTGGGTGATCCATCTCAAGAGCCTTGCACACCACATCAGAGACAATGGGTTTGAAAACATTCTGCTCACAGCTTATTACGTCTCTCCTTAGAAAGTGACTTACACACACATATATTGATCAATATTCTCTGGTGGTTCCCACTCAGCAGAGCATGGTTGGCGTAGATCATCCACGACAAACGAGGGGACACCTTGCAACCCTGGAGAACACAACCTGCTTCCACAATCTGAACCCAAAACCTGTTTCCCAGAGCGTGGGAAGTGACTTCCCCTCTGAAATGGAAGCCTTGGAATACTGCTGACCATAGGAGTCTAAACATGGCTCCTCAGATTATTCATCCTAGCTGAAGTCTAAACTGGCAAATCTTCCTGGGCATGTGCCCATTTCCAGTATCTCATTGATTTTGCCCAGCTAGGTGCTCGTTGTCTGTGACATCATTACTCTTGTTAATCAGGACAAGATTCGGGGAATAGTGAGGTAAGGTTTAGAGGCATTTAAGGTAGAGCTGAGTGGAGCCTGCAGGTCACGTGCTGTGTTTGCATAAATGCTTGAGATGTCAAGTGTGTAATTGAGACAGACATCACCCCATAGTGCAGGGATAGGCACATGTGCCATGCACTGCACTCGATATATGTCTTTGCACGGCACTCAAGGCTGCTAGAGCCAAACAGGCCTATCAGGAGTCCCAGTGAAGCTTCAGATATACAAAAAGGTGGTTAAAGACAATCCTCAATTTATGCATTGCAGCACTTGTGAATGGGAATCCACACTGGAGTAGAAGATCCCGCAGCTGCTGTTGCAGCTCCTGTCCTTGACCTGTACTAGGCCAGCCTGGTCCCCACTGGAACCCAGGGAAGCCATCCAAACTGCTAGATATACACAGAAATGCAGAATAACCCTTCCCTTATACAAATAATATTAACAGCTCACGCACAAACGCAACACCACTAACAATCCACATACATGAACACAACCCTATATGCAGCCTCTCACATACAATTACCCAAACACACACTACCAAACACACAATGTGACATATCCATTCAAACACAATTCCACAAGCAGCCCCCATGCACAGCCCACATTCATAGGTATTATACAAGATACTACAAACTACTCATGAACATATACAATATAATAGCTCATATACGCACAAATACAATTATACAAAGCAACAGCAGTATAAGTAACAAGCAGAATACGGCAACATACCTCAATTTAAAAAAAAAAAAATAGGACATCACAATCCTATTTTGGCACAGTGCTGCTAAAAGGTTGCCTACCCCTGCCATAGTGTGTTTTGGGAATGTAGCGAGTGTGTAGTGTATGTCTGTTCAGGTGATGCAGTGTGTGTGTGGTAGCTGTAGAGAGTATGTGTTTCGGGAATGTAGTATATGGTGTTTGTGTGCAGGGGATGTAATGTTTACAAAGGGGATCCAGAGTGTATGTCAGGAATGTAGTGTGTGTGTAGAGGATCCAGTGTGTGTTTGTGTAGAATATCCCAAGTGTGTGTACATGGTAGAGTGTATGTATGTATGTATGTATATATAGATATATATATAAATTTTTTTTAGTGATTATAGCTGGTCTAGTGTGTAGGGGTACAGCAAGTGTGTTTGAGGGGTGCAGCACTTTGGGACATACTGAGGTGGGTGGGGGAAGGGGGGACAGATGGCAGCAAAGCAATTTTATTTGATATATTATTATTACTGCCATTTATATAGTGCCAGCTTATTCCGCAGCGCTTTACAATAAGAAGGGAATTTACCAAATGAGACAAAACCAAAATGTAACAGGAACAATAGGTAATTGAGGATCCTGCTCAAACAAGCTTACAGTTTAGAGCAGGCTTCCCCAAACTCCGACCCTCCAGATGTTGCTGAACTAAAACTCCCATGATTCTCAGCCTATTTCATTCATAGAATCATGGGAGTTTTAGTTCAGCAACATCTGAAGGGCCGGAGTTTGGGGAAGCCTGGTCGTTCCTTTTTAAAGGACCACTATAGTGCCAGGAAAACATACTCATTTTCCTGACACTATAGTGCCCTGAGGGTGCCCGCCGGGCTCTAGGGGGAGGAAGGGGTTAAACTTAGCTCTTTCTCCAGCGCCGGGCTGGGAACTCTCCTCCTCCTCTCCTCCTCCATAGCGACGTCAGCAACTGAATGCGCATGCGCGGCAGGAGCCCCGCACGCATTCAGCCAGTCCATAAGAAAGCATTCTCAATGCTTTCCTATGGACGCTGGCGTCTTCACACCGTGAAAATCACAGTGAGAAGCGCGGAAGCACCTCTAGCGGCTGTCAATGAGACAGCCGCTAGAGGCTGGATTAACCCTATTATAAACATAGCAGTTTCTCTGAAACTGCTATGTTTATAGAAAAAAGGGTTAAACCTAGCTGGACCGGGCACCCAGACCACTTCATTAAGCTGAAGTGGTCTGGATGCCTATAGTGGTCCTTTAACTTTTGCCTGTGAGGGGAGACATTACAAACCATGGTGGTCCAGAGGTGAGTGAATGCTCCAAGCTTGTGAGAGGAACCCAGCAGAGCTGCAGGTTATAGCTCACTGGTCCTCTCCTCTCTGGAGGGAGATCTCTGATTTCTCCACTCTTGTCACACAGCAGGGTCGGCGCTTGGACAGTGCAGGCCCTGTATCGGCCAACAAGGGAGATCCTGTCCAGGCATGCACTACACTGAGTTTTTAGAGCAGTAATAAAACAAGAATAGCACTAAAAAGAAAATGGAAAAAATTTGGGGCCCGTGGATAGAAAGCGGGGTTGGCGATTAGGGGGAAGGGGGACGGGCTCGTCTCCTTCATGCCCCAACATACCTCTGCTGACTCTGGGGGGGATGGCAACTTTATATCTCCATTGCTTAGTTGGTCCTTTCGGTCCCCACTGAGGTGCCTACGGTCCATAGTTCTCCTCACGGGCTCGGAGGTCCATCCTTAGGCTTTGCAGGCTTGTGGCTGCACAGCCGACTGGTCGAGCTGGCATCATTGCCAATTCTTGGAATATCACCAGCATACTCCCTCCCTCTCCTATTCTCCTCTTCTTTTCTACTCTTATGGTGCTTTCCATACGGTTAATTTTTTTTTCCCACTTCTATTTATCTCTTTTTCTTTTTCCATCCTGACTGGCTACTGTCCAGCGACCATTTAGCTAAAAAGAGCCTTTTTGGGTTGAGGCGGGCTGTGGGGCGATTTTTGGCGGATCGCTAGTTAAATGGTAATACACTATTGTTGACCTTACACGTTAGATATGCGTATGATAGTTTGGTTTGACGCCTACTACTTATTAAAGGTTAAGGTGGAATGAAGAAGCGAGCTGCCACATAGTCAGACAGGATTCTGTATATTACTTAATATAAAATAGATTGGAGGCTGCAGTAGACAGATAATCATGGTTGGAGGACATATGTCATACTCAATGAACATATTTGGTTGTAAGGGCAACTAATCATGTTGTATTTTGATTAATACCGAATACTGTTTGTGATGTTTATCTTCTTATTGCATTGTAATGATTGTTTTGCTGTGGTATCTGATCTTGTTATAAATAAAGAATTTAAAAAAATAAATAAATAAATAAAACAAGAATAACCTAAAAAGGGAAATCGATTCTCAACATTGAGTAAACCTGTAACCGAAAAACTCAAAGTGTAGTAGACATCAACCACCAGTGTATACCGAATCTGAGAGACAGGGAGGTTGCCATTCAATCGTGCGGTTTCAATTCATGCAAGATTCCAGAACCGAAGCCATCAAACTTCCACAAAGAAAATGGCCACAGCGAGTGCATGCGTGGTGCTACAAAATGGATTAAAAGGGATGCAGCGATTCAGAGGCACTGCGAAGGCTAGAAGGTGATAGGGAGAAAAATGAAAACTCGTGGGGCAGAAGAAAAAACCACCCCAAACTAAAATTGGTTGGTGAGCTTGAGCACATTATGGGGATGGGCAGGGATGAGGAAAGGAGGAATTGGGCACACTCATATGACAAAGAAAACTAACAACCAAATACAATAAACAACAACAAAAACTATTTAACCTAGAAATCACATATGTAAATGTGATTTACTCGTTGGACTGAGCAGCAAAGATAGAGTAGGTGCTAGATGAAGTCACATCCTTTATGGATCATACTCTGTTGGGATTGGTTATAATGTTTATATGTAAAAGAAATAGAAAGCACAATTGAAGCCTCCGTGACTTTAATAAAATCATATACTATTACATAGACCCGGTACTGAAGGGCTGTCCTGCAGAATTGTATCTCCATAAGATAAAGTAAGAAAGGTTTTAAGCCTTTGCTAATTAATTCTATGCGTCACTCAGCAATGTGCTACTAATTACCCAGAAACTCTGGCGTGCCTGCAGTTCTCCTGAGTCAGACAGCGTTGCTCTAGTAAACAGTGGGAACCAGATTTATCAAGCAAAAAGGTGCAATTAGCAGATGCCACTGGTTTCTTTATGATTTACTACTTCTGCCTGCCTAGGTTGCTCAGAATCATACTTGAAGATACTACAGATGTCAGGAAGCTGATACCATCCCTGGGACTTGACTCCACCCTCTTACCTAACCTGTAACCCCCAACATTTGAAAAGGACATAGGTGGTATGTGGCTAGTGAGCCGTTGCTCATAGCTCTTTAAAGTGTAGGAGTATTGTGTGAGCTGGGCATTTAATCTGCTGATGTCCATACTGGTGGATTTAGTAGATAGGATTGGGGCAGGATTATAGGTTGAATTAGGGGAAAGGTATAAGTGGGCAATCATTGTAAGTTTGAACAGTAGCAAAATAAAATATGGAGTGTTTGCAGTAGTGGAACAACGCGTGGATAAAAATTTAAAACCCCATAAAAGACTAAATATTTTGACCTAAGTTTGTGATGAAATGGCTAAATGAAAAGAGTCAAAATGCTGTTGGTTACATGAACTGGGTGATGTAATTGCTATAAATAAATATATACTTTTGTGTAGTGGTTTTGGATTATGTGACTCTTATAACAGTTGTAAAGTCAGCAAGACAAATTCTGCAAAATTTTTACTTTAAAACTGTAATTCACACCTTGCAATATTTGTTTCACAACTTCTACAAATAAATTGAGATCCAAGACATATGGGGATTTTAATAACCAGGACTAATTAGTAAATATATTTTGAGAGAGTTTTGTTTAGTTGCAGTTGTGCAGGAGTTTTTAAATGTAAAACCGATTAAACAGATTTTAATTTATTTAATATTGTACTCCTATCTAATATTGTGTTATTCTGCATCTTGGATGGATTTCTGCTCTGCAGACTGGAATTAGTTTGTGACTCTTAGGTAGGGATGTCAAATCCATCATATTTCCTGAGAAACAATATTGCATATTGACTGGCAATTGTAACCGGTAGGAAAACAAACCCTAGAATTTGCTCTATATGTCTGTTCAACAATAATTTATCTCTTTCAGATTATGTTCAGGAGAGCTTATATATTAAAAATAACTTAATATGAATATAAATCTTTAAAAAAAAAAGTGTAAGAAATTAGGAAATTTTATTTTCCCAAGTTCTGCATGGCATTATAACTGTAAACTGTTAGCTCTTACTGCAATAATAAAAAAAAAAATAAAAAATAAAAATAAAAAAATAAAAAAAACACATTTGTATGCTGTGATGTTCCAGGAGTACAACAATGCCCCCCATGTTCAGGTTTTATGGTGTTTTGGAAAGTTACAAGATCAAATAAAGAACTTGCCCATTTCTGTTTTTACAGATTAAAATTTGACAGATTGGTTTGCTGGGCCTATGTTGCCTCTGAGACTGTACTAATATGTGTGTTCAATGAAGTCTCCCGAGTATAACAGTACCCCCCATGTTCAGGTTTTATGGTGTTTGGAAAGTTAGAGGGTCACATAGTTAGAGGCTTGCATTTCTGTTTTTTCACATTGAAATTTGACAGATTGGTAATGTTGCCTTGAGACCGTTTGGTAGCCCAATATTGAAAATGACCCCCATGATGGCATACCATTTGCAATAGTAGACCACGGTATTCTAAAAAGGGGTCCAGTCTTTTTAATAGCCACTTAGTCAAATACTGGCCAAAGTTGGTGCTCATATTTTGAGCATTTTTCACACAAAAACGACACTTTCACTGATGACAATCTTCATTCACTGCTCTAAAACATGCATATTTGTGTTCAGCAAGGTCTCACAAGTACAGATTTTATATAGGGCTTGCAAATTAAATGCTCTTGAATTACTGCCTGGGATGCCATGTGGTGGGAGGGAGTTGAGGGCCAATTGGTAGGATGTGCTACGCTGCCCTACAGTGTTAAATTCCACTTTTTTGTTGGACATTTAACTCAGTAAAACGTCTTCACACTCTGCATGAGGACGTCCGGCATTTTTTAAGTCCCCATAGGAAAGCACTGATTCAATGCTTTCCTATATGGAAGGTGCTGCTGCGCATGCACATTACGTTCACCCTCGCAGTGTCGGAGGAAGAAGGTGGCTGCCAAAAAGGTAGATCACCAGATGTTGTAAAACTACAACTTCCATGATGCTTTGCATACATTTAGAATGACAAAGCATCATGGAAGTTGTACTACAACATCTGGGGATCTACCTGTTGGGCGGCCCTGTTTCAAAGGCTGTGTTTAAAGGATCACTCTAGTGTCAGGAAAACGAAGCGGTTTTCCTGAAACTATAGTGCCCCCCCCCCTCAGGGTCCCGCTCCCGTGGCGCTGAAGGGGTTAGCACAGCCAAATGCGCATGTGCGGCAAGTGCCACGCGCGCATTCATGCTGTCAATAGGAAAGCATTTTTCAATGCTTTCCTATGGACGCTCTGCGTGATAGAGGCACAATATGCCTTCAGCGTCGCAGATGCGCCTCTAGTGGCTGTCCGGAAGACAGCCACTAGAGGCTGGCTTAACCCTGCAATGTAAACATAGCAGTTTCTCTGAAACTGCTATGTTTGCATCTGCAGGGTTAAAACCTGAGGGACCTGGCACCCAGACCCCTTCATTGAGCTGAAGTGGTCTGGGTGACTATAGTATCCCTTTAACATTTTGAATGAGGGCACTATAGTGTTAGGAATACAAAGATTTATTCCTAACACTATAGTCTTCCTTTAACTCTAAATCACTTGAAACGCTTATTTAAAAATATTAAAAGAACACTATAATGTTAGAAATACAAATCTGCATCCCTAACACTACAGGGAGTGCAGAATTATTAGGCAAATGAGTATTTTGACCACATCATCCTCTTTATGCATGTTGTCTTACTCCAAGCTGTATAGGCTCGAAGCCTACTACCAATTAAGCATATTAGGTGATGTGCATCTCTGTAATGAGAAGGGGTGTGGTCTAATGACATCAACACCCTATATCAGGTGTGCATAATTATTAGGCAACTTCCTTTCCTTTGGCAAAATGGGTCAAAGAAGGACTTGACAGGCTCAGAAAAGTCAAAAATAGTGAGATATCTTGCAGAGGGATGCAGCACTCTTAAAATTGCAAAGCTTCTGAAGCGTGATCATCGAACAATCAAGCGTTTCATTCAAAATAGTCAACAGGGTCGCAAGAAGCGTGTGGAAAAACCAAGGCGCAAAATAACTGCCATGAACTGAGAAAAGTCAAGCGTGCAGCTGCCACGATGCCACTTGCCACCAGTTTAGCCATATTTCAGAGCTGCAACATCACTGGAGTGCCCAAAAGCACAAGGTATGCAATACTCAGAGACATGGCCAAGGTAAGAAAGGCTGAAAGACGACCACCACTGAACAAGACACACAAGCTGAAACGTCAAGACTGGGCCAAGAAATATCTCAAGACTGATTTTTCGAAGGTTTTATGGGCTGATGAAATGAGAGTGAGTCTTGATGGGCCAGATGGATGGGCCCGTGGCTGGATTGGTAAAGGGCAGAGAGCTCCAGTCCGACTCAGGCGCCAGCAAGGTGGAGGTGGAGTACTGGTTTGGGCTGGTATCATCAAAGATGAGCTTGTGGGGCCTTTTCGGGTTGAGGATGGAGTCAAGCTCAACTCCCAGTCCTACTGCCAGTTCCTGGAGACACCTTCTTCAAGCAGTGGTACAGGAAGAAGTCTGCATCCTTCAAGAAAAACATGATTTTCATGCAGGACAATGCTCCATCACACGCGTCCAAGTACTCCACAGCGTGGCTGGCAAGAAAGGGTATAAAAGAAGAAAATCTAATGACATGGCCTCCTTGTTCACCTGATCCGAACCCCATTGAGAACCTGTGGTCCATTATCAAATGTGAGATTTACAAGGAGGGAAAACAGTACACCTCTCTGAACAGTGTCTGGGAGGCTGTGGTTGCTGCTGCACGCAATGTTGATGGTGAACAGATCAAAACACTGGCAGAATCCATGGATGGCAGGCTTTTGAGTGTCCTTGCAAAGAAAGGTGGCTATATTGGTCACTGATTTGTTTTTGTTTTTTTTTTGAATGTCAGAAATGTATATTTGTGAATGTTGAGATGTTATATTGGTTTCACTGGTAATAATAAATAATTGAAATGGGTATATATTTGTTTTTTGTTAAGTTGCCTAATAATTATGCACAGTAATAGTCACCTGCACACACAGATATCCCCCTAACATAGCTATAACTAAAACAAACTAAAAACTACTTCCAAAAATATTCAGCTTTGATATTAATGAGTTTTTTGGGTTCATTGAGAACATGGTTGTTGTTCAATAATAAAATTAATCCTCAAAAATACAACTTGCCTAATAATTCTGCACTCCCTGTATAGTGCTCTTGTTCCTAGTTATATACAAGTAAATTTTCTATCAAACTTATGTGTACAATTGGGGGAATAAACTTGACTTTAATCCTATTTTTATCCAATAATACACTATTGCTTGCTTTCTTATTTTATATATAAATTATATAAACCCTTTCATCGATTGGGTTGTAAGTGTACCACTATTCTAGCGCTGTACTTTGCTTATTTGGTGGGTTTTAATCACCTAAACATTGAGTTACAGTTATTTCGGATTTCCTTATTGTTTGTAGGTTTTTTGGAGCATTCCACTGAGTGTTTTCAGCTGTTTTTTTTTTTATTAATATCACTAATCACTAAGCGCCTTCCAGTTCACACATCATTGTAACACTAAAACTTTGGAATGAAATGGTTTGATACTAACCATGGAGAGACCAAGAGACCCATAACCATAAACAGAATAATTTGTTTTACTGGTAATGGTGCTTAGGAGGCACAGAAGGCCTGATCTTCAGATTTACAGTTAAGAGTGCCAACAAACTGAGACTCTCACAGTCTCCTTAATTCTAGACTGTGGTTTTATTTTCTTGGTTTTCTTATAATTCAACCTTCATTTGTCCCTTTTACCCTCTACGCTGCCACTGTATGAAGTAAACATGTCTCAAAGTACACTTCAATGGAATGCAACATACATAAAAAGGCTCATATAAACATCCATAGAAGATTTAAAGTGCACCTATCATACTTTATTTATATGAGATAGTATGCAATTTTGTATACACACACACACACACACATACACACACGCTACATTAGTAGAATTACTGGCAAATGTATAGATTTCCTTAAAGAAAGCGGTGTAAAGATGTGATCTCTCTCATCTCTTGTTAATCAACTGCAGACATAGAGCGCTATGCTGTGCAGAGAATTAAAGCAGCTCTTTCTTACTCCCCTCAAATTCTTTCAAAAGCTATACTAAGACAAAGTAGTACAGGTATAGGCAACCTTCGGCACTCCAGATGTTTTGGACTATATCTCCCATGATGCTTTACCAGCATTAAGGATGTAAGAGCATTGTGGGAGATGTAGTCCACAACATCTGGAGTGCCGAAGGATGCCTACCCTGAAGTAGGAACTACTTAGTTAAACTTGACCTCAGTAGCTCCACCTTTTGTTATTTCCACTATTTGTCACTAGTGACCACTGTAAGGAAAAAGACATTGAAGTATCCTGCGGTTTCACCCTTGTGCAAGAGTACACATTGGCGTGAGCTACTAGTAGTTAAAGCACCAGGAGATGAAGAGGACCATGGTGGCAGCCGCAAAGTAAAGGTTTAAGTAACCAAAACCTACCTTCCCCTGCAAGAAGCTGCCAATAGATATACAGTGAAGCAGTCACTGTTAGGGTGTTTGCAAAATATGCAAAGAAGAAGAAGGTGACAGAGCCGCTTAAATTGACACAGAACAACAGACCTCCCATACAAACAGAGCCCTGTTCTACAAAATTGCAACAACAGCTTGTGCATTGTAGTTTCTGTTACTTTTCTGCAAGCAATCACATCTTGCATTACCACAGGAACATAGGAATGTAACCACAGGCATAGTTTATTGCAGAATTGACTGGAAATACATATTTACATGTGAGGACCTTATTTAGCTTTTATCATTATATATTGGTTGTTCTCAAACGATAAAATGTACTAAAACATTGGTCAGTTCCAGCCTACAGTTTCCTTTTAAGTAGCTGAAGAAAAAAAAAAAGAATACTTATTTTCTCTGTTACTTTATTACAAGTTTGTAACTGGGAAGTTAACCATATTGTATTACATTGTCACAGTTGCTTCATTAAAAGCCAATGCGGCAAGGTAATGTAGTTATTTCTTGCTTACAGATGAATATGGGTATAATGGAGGAGTCAATATAGTTCTCCAATTTTTGTTGTTTTTGTGTCATAACTTGTATATATAGTTTTTTGGTTCCAATTACCCACTGTTAATAAATGTATTAATTGCTTTGATTTTCTGACCTTATTGTAATAAAAGCTAAGTTTTAACATTTGCCTGTTTCTTTGGGAAAAAAAAAAAATCAATAGATTTTCTTTTTGCTTTTACTTATAAAATGTATCCAGAAAATAACCACATTTCTGCACAGAGGCAGCTAAAGGTAATATTATGTTGCTTAATCTACATTTGCTCATTGCATCAAGAGATGTTGCACCTGTATGGCATCAGAAAAAAAAAAAAAAAATCAAAAAAAAAAAAAATCTTCCTTTAAAATAGGCTTCCTTTAGTTACAAAAACCATCACTTCTTCCTAGTGCTATGAATAGTAAATGAAATAAAGCACCAACATTTTGTTTACAGGTAAAAAGGGAAGATGCAAATTTAAATCAATTGAGATATGAAAACCCATATGATGATATGGCGGCCGTGTGCACTTCAATAGCTCCCTTTTTAAGACTTCATCTTACTGTTAAATTGAGTTTCCTTTCTTGCATAAGGGCAGGCTCCTTAATAAACTGCTTTCTATCTCTTAATCTCTGTTAAGCAGGCTAACACACCGCAGAACCAGGAGAAGACAGTGTGTGTATTCTGGGGATTCCGCTGCAGCAGGCAGAGCTCAGTACTGGCGAGTTATGTGCATGTATTAAAATCTTTCATCTTGATTTTCTTATTTTTGTGGAAATTGTTTAATTCTTGAAGTAAGCAGTGTTAATTTTGGCGGCAAATTTCAATTTAGTTTATTCAGACTTTTGACTAAAAGGCAAATTTTGTTTTAGTAGACTAAAATAAACACTGGAAGTGACTCATGAAAAAAAGAAAGTTTGTTTAAGTTACTTCAAGCACTATGACCACTTAATTTTTTCAACGTGGTCACAGTACTTGTTCTGTATATGCAGGGTTTCAGTTTGAAGCTCTAAAAATACAAAGATAAAGCACATTGCTGCCAGATGTGTAACTCCACCTTCAGCAGTGTCATCAGCCAACCCAGGATGAGAGTTCTGGGTTGGTTAATGTTAGTTCTGTATATATTTACCATTTGCATAGCCCCCCCCCTTCATTGCACTCACATTCTCCCCTCAGCCTGCCTTCCAGAATGTGCCTCCCACTCAAGTGACAACAAAGGAGTAGGATCAGGCTGCAGAGAGAACTTGGCCTTGATTTGAGACGCAAGGCAGGCTTTTGAATTCTTTATTTCATTTTATAGGGGGTGATATGCCAGAAAAGCATACCCTACAAAAAACAACCATTTTTTTTGTTTTTTAAGACACTGTTTTCGGCTGGCATAACCCTATACAGGATATTTGTTTACCTACATGAAAAGTGGTACCCAATTGCCTTGCTTGTCATAACTAAATGCTGCTCCTAAAAGCACTGTGCACAGAATGGACTGCATGCGCCCCTTTTGAGGGGAGAAACCTTTTCTGAATAATATGCACTTTTGGGAACTATGCAGAAGATCTTACCCCCAGCACACAATTACAAATATCTTCAGATGTGCAGTGTTTTAATATTTACTACAATGAATTGAGACATGACAGAAATGTTAGTTTCATGTAGCAATCAAAGGCATTATGAGTACTCTGAGAAAATATATAAAACAAAGTATAGGGAGCAACGAAATAGGTTTTCGAAATCATGGAATGGACAACGGAGGATGATCATGCTTTAGATTTGTTATAAAAATATATGCATTATTGTTTTGTTTTTTATTATTAATTGAGGCACACTTGGTGCCTCTCTGTTAGAAGTTACAGCACCAGTCTGTGTCCCTGATAAGTGAAATCAGATAGGATGTTAGTGACTCACACAGTTATGTTGTGTGGGAACCAGCTCGTGAAAGGCACCTCGGCCAAATACACTGTAATATTAGCATCACAGGTAATAGCTGCCAGAATACTGGGTCACTGTGACCAAAAAATATATTTAAGCACCCAAAGAAAGCAGAATGGATACTAAATATAACTATGCCCTTTACTTGTGACAAGTTTAATTTGGAAGGCAAAGTCAGATTCAGAATTATGGAATCACAAAACTGTGTATTTGTATATATTCTATTTATTTTAGTTTGCACACCAATGAATATTGTAGATAATGCCTAAATGGTAGCACCTAGCACATAATTTTTTATTTTAAAAGCACATAAAAACACATACACCAATGGGTGTGCTCAGACACAAAAGTATATCCTCTGCTCCACGCTTTAAGAAAAATAAATATCCATGTCATTTTAAAGGTTGAGTTTTTGGGGTGTTTTTTTTTTTTTTTTTAAAGTGAAAACAGTGTTATTCACTAAATGGGGAAATGACAGAGAAAAGCCAAAATAGATAACGTGGCAAAATATACACTGCAATGTCTGCTTGCTAGACTACATTAAGTAGGAACTTCTTGGCAATAGTGGTCATCTGGTTTGGTTTAAGGCAGTGTAGAACATACTGGCGCTTTATAATTAATCTCTCCCTAGTTAGACCCTTTTCTGCAGTATGTGCTAGAAACTCACTCCTACTGCAGTTCTTTTCCAGCTCTTCTCTACAGAATGAGTTAAACTGGCACATCCCACCTCCTCCTCCTTTATAATGTGCTTGGCATATATTTTTCAAATGAAAACAGGAACAGAAAAAAAAAAATATGTTCTTTTGGATGCTCTAATCAAGGTGATGTTAGATAGGTGGCTGTAAACCTTCCACATGGAAAACAGTCACCACCAGTCACCAATGTCACCCTTGGACCCTCTTTCCTAACATGACATCATGTTTACCAGTACACTCATATTTCCTGTCACATCACCCACCCATCTATCCATCCATCTCAAGTATCAAAGTGCATCTCAACAAAACAGAACTCCCAAGTACCCCCATTATTTACCACCAAGTGATTCCCAGGAGATACTGATAGTTAATTGCAAAATATACACCTCAAAACAGTGCAGATTCCTGGATCTTAACAATCTCTCTACTATTCTAATATAACCCCCACCTTCTACATTCATCATTTACCCCCACATACCCCCCCCCTGTGAGTTTATTATACACCCCCCCTGTGAGTTTATTATACACCCCGCCCTGTGAGTTTATTATACACCCCCCATGTGAGTTTATTATATACCCCCATGTGAGTTTATTATACACCCCCAGTGAGTTTATTATACACCCCCAGTGAGTTTATTATATACCCCCAGTGAGTTTATTATATACCCCCTGTGAGTTTATTATATACCCCCTACATACCCCCCTGTGAGTTTATTATATACCCCTACATACCCCCCTGTGAGTTTATCAGCCCCTCTAATCCTGCCGCACAGTCAGTAGTGATCACAATCCCTATAATTACAGTAAAGCAGACAGAGAGCATTGTGTATAGCGGCTCTGTGTGTGGGCTGCTCCCTGGCAGAGTGACAGTATATGGTCACACGGTGTATACAGACAGATTGATACATTGATACTGACCTGGAGAGATGTTTCAGGATCTGTTTCTTTATAATCCCAGCCATGGTGCTCAGCTCTTACAATGGCTCCGTATTGTTACCGATGGCTCTCCCCTTGCAGCTAATACCCTCTACCGGGGGCGGGCAGTGCCTAGTCCCTCCATGTCCCAGCGTGGCTGGCAGCGATTAGCAGGTGTGGGAGCACAGTGTCACCGTGTCGGGGGCCACCATCACACAGCGTCCATCTTAGCCGCACCATCGCCTAGAGACAGCCAGCAGGGGGCGGTGCCTGCCACTGACTCATGGCGGGGAGTGGAGGAGGCAGGACAATAGCAGCGACTGCTAACCCTTTCATGGGCTGTCTGTTAGAGAGGAGACAGGGGATAGGAGGTGGGGGACACCGAGAGGGGGGCTGCTGCTGCTCTCTGTCCTCTGTCTGGGAGGGGAGTCACTGGAATATCCTGCATCAACTTCCTCAAAACCAGATTTACTTTTGGATTTTTTTGTTCCACCCTCATCATCATGATAGGGTGAAACACATCATCTGTAAAATGGTTTATTTGTATCGATCTGGGAAATGCTCACGTTGGTCAATGTTGCAGTGATGGTAGTAAAAAAAGATAGTACAAGATATAACATAGGACAGTATATTATAAAAAGGTAATATCTTCCAGGGTTCATGGGACTGGAAGGTGTGTGGAATAGAATTATAAATGCTAAAACTTGTTTTTGCCCCCATTTTTCATGAGCTGAACTCAAAGATCTAAGCCTTTTTCTATGAACACAAAAGGCCTATTTCTGTAAAATATTGTTCACAAATCTGTCTAAATCTGTGTTAGTGAGCACTTCTCCTTTGCCGAGATAATCCATCTACCTCACAGGCAGTGGCATACACACAACCCATGGGGCCCCGGTGCGAAAACTGATCCGTGCCCCCCTCCCGCGCGCGCTTACTCTGCGCGGGCTGGGGCCGCAACACATGGCAGCGGGCACCTGGTCTCAGGGCTGCAACCCCTGCAACCGCGGTATGTACGCCAGTGCATGCAGATACACATAAACTTAAAGGACCACTACAGACACCCAGATCACATCAGCTCAATGAAGTGGTGTGGGTGCCAGGTCCCTCTAGTTTTAAAGGGACACTATAGTCACCTGAACAACTTTAGCTTAATGAAGCAGTTTTGGTGTATAGAACATGCCCCTGCAGCCTCACTGCTCAATCCTCTGCCATTTAGGAGTTAAATCCCTTTGTTTATGAACCCTAGTCACACCTCCCTGCATGTGACTTGCACAGCCTTCCATAAACACTTCCTGTAAAGAGAGCCCTATTTAGGCTTTCTTTATTGCAAGTTCTGTTTAATTAAGATTTTCTTATCCCCTGCTATGTTAATAGCTTGCTAGACCCTGCAAGAGCCTCCTGTATGTGATTAAAGTTCAATTTAGAGATTGAGATACAATTATTTAAGGTAAATTACATCTGTTTGAAAGTGAAACCAGTTTTTTTTTCATGCAGGCTCTGTCAGTCATAGCCAGGGGAGGTGTGGCTAGGGCTACATAAACAGAAACAAAGTGATTTAACTCCTAAATGACAGTGAATTGAGTAGTGAAATTGCAGGGGAATGATCTATACACTAAAACTGCTTTATTTAGCTAAAGTAACTATAGTGTTCCTTTAGCCCTGCAGCTGAAAACATAGTTTCAGAGAAACTGCTATGTTTCACTGAGGGTTAATCCAGCCTCTAGTGGCTGTTTCATTGACAGCCGCTAGAGGAGCTTCCGCGATTCTCACTGTGAGCTGAACGTCCATAGGAAAGCACTGAGTAATGCTTTCCTATGGGCGGTTTGAATGCGCGTGTGGCTCTTGCCACGCATGTGCATTCGGAGCTGAGAGGCGGATCAGGGCGGAGAGAATGGTAAGTGCTTAAGACACACACACACTCTCACAAACAGACGCATACACACTAGCTAACAGACACACACATTTACTGACAGACACACACTCAGTGACAGACATACATACACACTCACTGACAGACACTCACTCACAAAACACACTCACTAACAAACGCACACAAACTAACACACTCAGTAACAGACACACAAAGTAACACACTCACTGACACACTAACACACACACACACACTCTAACACACGCACTAACACACACACTCTAACACTAACACACACACACTCTAACACACACACACTCTAACGCTAACACACACACACTCTAACACTAACACACACACTCTAACACTAACACACACTCTAACACACACACTCTAACACTAACACACACACTCTCTAACACTAACACACACACACAGGGACGTATTAGCCGCGAGGCAAACAAGGCATTTGCCTTGGGCGGCATTTTCCAGGGGGCGGCAAAAAAAGCCGCCCCCAAATGCCCAGGGCAAATGCCTAATTAGCCTTGCGGCTAACTGACATGCTGGGCGGCCGGGGGGCGCTGGGCGGGCGGCTGGTGAGGGAGCTCTTCCTCTGAGCGGTCTGCTCAGCTCTCTAACGTCATATTCCGGCTCCCAGCCTCACTCTGCGGGCGCACAAGGGAACTGAGCACACAGCTCAGAGGAAGCGCGCCCTTGCCAGCCGCCCGCCCACCCAGTAGCCACTGGACCCCCATGGAGAGAGGGAACCCCAACAGCATTCCCAAAGGTAAGGAGGCTGGGGGGTTAAATAAAAAAAATTAAAAAGAATGTTAATGTGAGTGATTGTGTGTCTCTGACTGCCTAGGGCAGCACAAAACCAGGATACACCACTACGCACACACACTCTCTAACACTAACACACACACACTGTGAGGAACTGACTCTGCTGGGTTTCGAACCCTGGTTTACATGGTGCTAAACCTCTGCCTTACCAGTACACCAGCCTGCCTTTTGCAAACTTACCTGAGATCTGATACCATTGCTTGTAGAGTCAAGGTTATCAGTGACAACTCTCTTCAGCTGTGTCTGGTCAGGTGTCTGGTTCTTGGCCTATAAAAGCCACTTCCTGTCTCTGTACCTTTGCCAGATTATTGTGGTTCCTGTACTCTCTAATCAAGCGTGTTCCTGTTTCTCCTTCCTGTTGCTGAATTTGGACTGTTTTGACTTTGCTGCTTCTCCTTCCCACTGACCTCGGCTTGCCTCACTACGATTATCATCTTTCTGTTCCAGTCTCCCATCACTGCTTAAGACCAGAAGGCCACTCAAGGCTCAGGGGCTCAACCACCTGGGTAACGAGTGGCTACCTCTGGCAGAAAACATTGCTGATCTGGCTACTGGACTCCAAAACTTTGTAACATCAATATCATTACACACACACTCTAACACTAACACACACACTCTAACACTAACACACACACACACACACACACTAACACACTCTAACACTAACAAACACACTCTAACACACACACACACACACTCTAACACACACCTTAGGGAGAGCTGAGGGGATTCCCTGGGGTCCAGTGGTGTCACCCGGCGGACGAGCAGGCTGGCGGGCGCACGAGGGAGCACTCCCCTGAGTGCTTCCTGTTCAGCTCCCTCGCGCGCCGCTTTCTGATACCGGAGCCGGAAGATGAAGTCATATTCGGGAGAGTGCTCCCTCGCGCCCACCAGGAGAAGAGGCTGGCCACACTGGGTACATACCGGGTCGCAGGGCGGCTGGGCCCCCTTGTGGGCTGGGCCCCCTTGTGGGCCGGGCCCGGTTGCATCCGCAACCCCTGCGACCCCGGTATTTACGCCACTACTCACGGGTGTGGCATATCAAGATGCTGATTAGACAGCAAGATTATTGCACAGGTGTGCCTTAGGCTGGCCACAATAAAAGGTCACTCTAAAATGTGCAGTTTTACTGTAATGGGGGGGTCCGAAAACCAGTCAGTATCTGGTGTGACCACCATTTGCCTCACACAGTGCAACACATCTCCTTTGCATAGAGTTGATCAGGTTGTTGATTGTGGCCTGTGGAATGTTGGTCCTCTCCTTTTCAATGGCTGTTCGAAGTTGCTGGATTTTGTCAGTACGTGGAACAATCTGACATATACGATGATCCAGAGCATCCCAAACATGCTAAATGGCTGACATGTCCGGTGAGTATGCTGGCCATGCAAGAACTGGTATGTTTTCAGCTTCCATGAATTGTGTACAGATCCTTATCATGCTGCAACATGAGGTGATGGTCGTGGATGAATGACACAACAATGGGCCTCAGGATCTCGTCACGGTATCTCTGTGCATTCAAAATGCCATCAATAAAATGCACCTGTGTTCGTTGTCTATAACATACGCCTGCCCATACCATAACCCCACCGCCACCATGGGCCACTCGATCCACAGCGTTGACGTCCGCAAACCACTCACCCACACGATGCCATACATGCTGTCTGCCATCTGCCCTGTACAGTGAAAACCGGGTTTCATCCGTGAAGAGAACACCTCTCCAATGTGCCAGACGCCATTGAATGTGCGCATTTGCTCACTCAAGTCAACGACGAACTGCAGTCAGGTCGAGACCTCGATGAGGATGCCGAGTATGCAGATGAGCTTCCCTGAGACAGTTTCTGACAGTTTGTGCAGATATTCTTTGGCTACTCAAACCGATTGTTGCAGCAGCTGTCTGGGTGGCTGGTCTCCGATGATGCTGGATGTGGAGGTCCTGGCCTGGTGTAGTTACACATGGTCTGCGGTTGTGAGGCCGGTTGGATGTACTGCCAAATTATCTGAAACGTCTTTGTAAGGCTTAGGGTAGAGAAATTAACATTCAATTCATGGGCAACCGCTCTGGTGAACATTCCGGCAGTCAGCATGCCAATTGCACGCTCCCTCAATCTGTGGCATTGTGCTGTATGATAAAACTGCAAATTTTAGAGTGGCCTTTTATTGTGGCCAGCCTAAGGCACACCTTTGCAATAATCATGCTGTCTAATCAGCATCTTGATATGCCACACCTGTGATGTGGATGGATTATCTCGGCAAAGGAGAAGTGCTCACGAACAAAGATTTAGACAGATTTGTGAACAATACTTGAGAAAAATAGGCCTTTTGTGTACATAGAAAAAGTCTTAGATCTTTGAGTTAAGCTCATGAAAAATGGGGGCAAAAACAGAAGTGTTGCATTTATAATTTTGTTCAGTGTATGTATATACATACAATGGAAGGTGGAGTGTCTTCTGGTTACAGATTATAACAAGTAAATCCTAAAAGTAGAACAAATAAAAACACTTGATAGTGCAATATTGTCTGAATAGTAAATAAGGTGAGGATAAAATATATGGTAATACACTCACAAAATTAGAGCCTGTGTAACAAGGCTCAATTATCCAGCGTTGTGGGATTAAGGATCACCACTTCCTTCTTTGTGCTTGCCAAGGAGTGGTAAAAAATCCAATGTCCTCTCATATATAAAGGTAAATAGTAAAAGTGCTTTAATGATAAAGTGCACAGATAGAAAATAAAAATCAAGACCTTACAGTTCAAGTAGTCTCTAGCAGCAATACGCGTTTCGCCTCGTGTGGAGGCTTCCTCAGTTGCTCTAATTGATTGTAGTAAGTAGTCTGTATTTATATGTGGCCTTTTGCGCCCTTTTTCGCTCTCCTCTCCCTGTTCGCGGCTTTTTCACTTCCGCGTTCCATCAGTGGAACGCATCGATCGAGGCACTTCCGGTTTCGGCTTTTTGCGTTCCACCGGTGGAACGCATGCTTTGTTCTTCCGGTTTTCGTGCATTTAGGTATAAATTAATCATGGAGAATAGTTCATATGGGTTTGAAGGGGCATATAAGTCTTTTAGCAAGGAGTATACATATTGCATAAACAGTTAAAACATGCCACATATAGATCTAGCAAATAACTATCTGGGGAAAGAAGAGACCATAGATAAAATATGAAAATTATATATAAAAATGTGTATATATAAGGCAACTTTAAAAGTAGAGAAGTGGGCAAGTCTTAAATGAAATATGGATAATAATATAAATAAATGTGATATCATGTATGATAATTAGCATAACAATATAAAAGAATATAAAAAGAAGCCTATTAATACCACATAAATACTAGATGGTTATTAATATTAATATTATGATAAAAAATATGAATATCTTCATTAAAAATGGCAAACTTCAAAATCTGAATTTAGACCATAGGGGATAAGGGTTTTAAAAGTATATATAAATTTAATTTCTTCTTTACCTAGTGATTTAATGTAATTACCCCCTCTCCAATCTCTCTTTACTTCTTTAATAGCACAAAAAAATAGATTCTCTGGGTTTGTGGACATCTTTAAAATGTTGGGATACGCTGTGGGTCTCCAGACCATTCCTGATATTCCGTATGTGTTCAGCGATCCTAACTTTTAAAGGTCTAATAGTTCTCCCTACATACAGTAAATTACAAGGACATTGTAAAATATATACAATACCCTTGGAATGACACGTAAGGTGGTCTTTAATGGTAAATGGTTTCTGAATAAGAGCTTCTAAATTTTCGAAATGTCTTTTTGTTTGTTTAGTGGTTCTACATGGGAGACATGTACCACAACCATAAAATCCTTTGAGGTCTTGAATAAAGTGCTTAGGTTTTGTAGGATTTAGATGACTTTTAACTAGAATATTTTTGAA